GGCTTTTCCTAGAGCGTGGCTGAAACTCCTCTTTCCTCCTGTGGTGGACGGGAGGCGACTGAGGCCTGGCAGTGGGCCTGATGAACACTGGATGTGTGGAGGGAGGGGGCTGCCGGGGGCTGGGCTGGATGGAACGTGGCTGGGTCACAGAATCCTCAGCCCCTCCTCTTTTGCCCCAGTCGGCCCTGTGAGTTAGCCCCTGCATCGGGGTGCCTGTGTCTGCTACAGTGCTTGATTCCCCCCAGAGCTAGGCTACACTTCGGGGTGCTGCTTTGAGACTAGTGGATTGTGAGGCGGGGGGTATGCTGGGGAGACCAAGTTTGTCTCTCAAGGGGGGTGACTTCTGGAGATGAGGGACGGCAAATCCGTTTTACGACCAGGAATATGACTCAGGTAAGCCCCAGCAATGCCTCCCACCCCTGGTGTGGGTGACACTGTGGAACCACTGTCCCTGCTGGGCTTTGGGAAGGTCAGCGTTGAGGCTGGAGGGTAGGAGACAGCAGAGCTGGGCCTGGGGAGGCCAAGGGCTCAAGGCTGATGGGCATGTGGGGATGGGCTTCAGGGTTCTGCATGGAGACCTCAACCCCCGGCCTCTCCTTTTTTGGCTTCTGTACTGTACTTTGTCCCCTGTGCGTCCCTTACAGGTCTTGAACTTGTTTGTGTGTGTTTTGGGAAGGGAGCCTGAAGAAAGGGAGGGGGGAGGGGAGGGTCCCGGCGAGAAAGCTTGAGCTGTTCTCTCTGCTTTCTTTGAGTTTGTCCCCAGTCCATCTCTCACTGTCCTCTCTGTGCCCAGCCTCTCCTGTCTGTCTGTCTGTCTGTCTGTCTGTCTCTGGGGAGGGAAGGGAAAGGGGCTCCCATGTCCCAGGCCCTGATCTTTGGCCTCATTTCCCCCCTGTTTCCTAGTCCTGACCCTTTTCTAAGCCAACCCCCAGCCTAAAGACAAGTGTGTCCTGGACATGCTAGTCTGAGGGAGGAAGCTAGCCCCTGCCCCACTCCTTAGATGTTCTTGAAAGAAAGACAGTGCAGGCTCCTTTCCACAGCTTTTAGGAAGCGTCTAAAAGGAAACTTCCCTTCCCTCCCCTGTTCAGCCCAGCATAAGGAAGGAGGAAGGGGATGTGTGGCTAGAGGGGTGTCCAGGACCCCTGCTTCCAAGCCCTCCTTGGCCTCAAAGGACAGCACCTCAGCCACAGTCATTATCCTCCAAACCACCGGCAGAGGGCAGGAAGCTGGACACTGCCCTTGCTCACCACCCTCCTTGGAGCCACCCCTTCTGCCTCTTCTGTTCCTAGTGGGGGGCAGGCAGCCCCTGCCTCTCCCCAGGTGCCTCGTGCCGCCACCCCCCCTTAGGCCAACCCCTCCTCGCAGTGGTCCCAGTGGGAGATGGGCAGTCCCAGGCCGGGCACACGGTGACCCTGCCGTCCCCCCTCTCCCCCCTTGCAGATCCGGAGCGGAGCAGCCCCCCCATGCTCTCTGCAGACGATGCCGAGTACCCTCGGGAGTACCGGACCCTGGGGGGCGGGGGCGGAGGCGGGGGCAGCGGGGGCCGGCGCTTCTCCAACGTGGGGCTGGTGCACACGTCCGAGCGGCGGCACACGGTGATCGCGGCCCAGAGCCTGGAGGCGCTCAGCGGGCTCCAGAAGGCCGATGCTGACCGCAAGCGCGATGCCTTCATGGACCACCTGAAGAGCAAGTACCCCCAGCACGCCCTAGCCCTGCGGAGTCAGCAAGACAGGATGCGGGAGCAGGTGAGTGGGGCCGGGCTGGGGAGGGGGTGTGACTTGTGCTCCCGTGTCCCCAGGCTCATCCTGATTCCGAGAGGCGTCTGAGGCAGAGGGGGAAAGTGGATGCCCCGTTGCCGTGGTTGGCCTTTTCTGGAGCCTGGGGAGGAAGGGGGTGGGGGCTCAGCACCCAGACCTCTGCCTGCAGCCCTGGAATTTGGAGCATGGGACTGGACAGAGAGAGCCCAGCCTCTAATCAGGCTGTTGGACTGAGCAGAGGAAGGCTGTCTCGGAGAGACAAGAGCGTGGTGGGGAAGGAGAGGGACAGCCTCGTCGTGCACTGAGTGTTTGAGTCTGAGGGTCCATCCAGCGGTGGAGTTGAGACCTTGGGGTCGGCACCTCTGTGGTATGGCCCCTAAGGGAAAGTCAGGCCTTGGGAGCTTCAGAAGGCTGGGTCTCCTGTGCCCCAGCCCTGCAAGAACAGAGCCCAGAATTTCTGGGGTCTTTTACCTCCTCCCCCATCCCCCACCCCGTTCCTTCCCCCCAAGACTCGCTGTGTGACTTTGAGCTAGAGGACTTCTCTCTCTGTGCCTTGGTTTCTCTCCTGTCATCAGTAGGGCTTAGATGGGAGTCAGGGCTCCTGCCTCTGGTCCAGGACCTGTCTCCTTCTTTATGGGGTACGAAGCTTCCTTTGTAAAGCTCTCCCAAATCCTTGGGTTCCTGGATGCATCTCTGCATCCAAGTATGCCCTTCTTGTTCGTAGGAAAATTCTTTCTTGGGATTGGCCTTCTCCTTACAGTCCCACCTTGGTAGGAGCCTTGACAGCTGCAGCACGTTGGCCGTTGAGACCCAGGCATTGTCCACTCTGGGAGAAAGGGCTTAGGGGAGGGTGATTAATCCCATCAGCATCCTTTCAATCAAGCCTTGGGGCATCCATCCCTGCTCTCGCACCTGTCTGGCTCTGTCCCCCTTTCCAAGTACTGCTGGGTGTGGCTGGGGAGGGGGGAGAGTGTGCCCATCCCCATCCTCATTGTAGGGAACAAGGACACATTGGTGCATTTCTGGTACATTATCTGCCCCTGATGTCACCTCCAGTTCTGTCCAGCCTTTACCTTTTCTCAGCTCCGGAGTCCTCCCGGGAGCAGAGTTCCAACTAAAATAAGGGAGAGTTGCAGAAGGAGATCTGGCCCTCCCCTTCAGGGGTCCCTCTCAGTGGATTCCTTCTGTGTGCTCTGGCTTAGGGGGAGGGGACAGGGACCTTTGTGATCTAGATGGGGTGAAAGGATGGTTAAACTTAAGTATAAGGGGCACAGTCAGTTGGAAGAGGGTTTGGAGTAGAGGAGATCAGGTGGACCAGCCTGGTCAGGGAAGGCTTCCTGGAGGAGGAGGTACCTAAACTAGGCTTAGAAGGATGAAAAGGGTCTGAATAGTCATAGAGGAGGAGAACGCTGTTTTAGGAGGTAGGGAGGTGAGCATAGGTCTGTGCTGGTTTGAGGACTGGCATAGAGGTCCAAATGGCTGACGCAGAGGGCTCGGGGTGGGAGGCAGTGAGAGGTGTGGGGGCCAGATGGTGGTGACTAGGGGGGCCGTGGCTGTTTTTGGATGGTGAATAGGAGGGGACAAGAGGGAGTGGCTGGAGGCAGGGAAAGGAGAGGAGGAAGAGAGTGTGTCAGGGAGGATGAAGGGAAAGGGATGGGGTGGGAGTGGGGCTGGAGGGAAGATGAACAAGGCTTGTTTGCTGCCTGGATCCAGGAGGCAAAGATAGAAAAACCTGGGTGACAGGGGCATATTGGTGCCTTGGGGGGAAATAAGAGGGATGGGAGGGAAACGTTTGGGGGAGTGGGGGACAGGAATAGGGGAGATGAGTTTGAGGAGGGGGTAGGGGTTTCCCGCAGAAGTCTGTTAAGCACTGAATATACAACTCAAGACTCTGAAGGGACCACAGCTTCAGAAGGGAGGTTGAGCACGATGTGGGCAGAAATGGAAGTGGGACCCAGGGTAAGCCTGGTCACCAAGGCAGAATGGAGTCTCAGAAGGGAGAGGGCCCATGACAGATGGGGAGGGAGAACCAGAAATGTCCTGCATCCCTGAGGAAGAGGACAAAGGCCCAGCAGGAGGGCCCCCTGCACTTCTGAAGTCTGGAGGGATGGGAGAGAGAAACAGCCATTGGGACCGGCCAGGATCTGTGGGTCTGGAGGGTATCAAGAGCTCCTTTCTCGTGCTGTGGTGAGGTAACGGCCAGTGTCAGGGGTCGAGGAGGTTGGAGGTGGTGAGGGAACAGGACCCCTGGGCTGCAGATCTGTCTGGGGAGGTTTGGCCAGAAAAATATGAAGACAGCCGGCGTGGCGGCCTCAAGGGGCAGCAGGCGTGTAAGAGAGCACGTGGGCGTGTTTGAGGGCCTTCTGTGTGTCTGGCACATTCACTGGCACAGAGTAGGTGCTCAGTAAGTGAGTCAAAGCACGGCCACTCACTCACAAATTCATTCCTTTATTCATTCACTCACTCATTCCCTGCCTTGGGGAGTAAGTGTGTAGGATCCACGGCTGTTTCACTTACATGGAACGCTCGGTGCCTAAGCCTAGCACTGGCTCAGTACGTTAGCGGGGTGACCTAATGAGAGACGGATGACTCTGAGGATGCTGAGGTCCCGGAGAAATCAGGAGGGGATGGGTTTCAAGCCTTAGGTGTGGTGTGGGAGAAGAAAGTCACCTCCGCGAGATGGCGGGGAGGAAAGCGGTGCTGTCAGGACAGAGGCACACTGGGCTGAGGCCCCCTGCGGAATGGTTCCCCACAGCTTCAACGAGGGGGCAGTGAAGAGCTGGAAGAAGGGACAGGCGAGGGACAGCCCCCTTGCAGAGTGTCCGGAGAGGCAGTCAAGAATTGAAGACAAGGACTTCAGCAGTATCCGCTGGGGAAGGCCTTGCCCTGGGCTCAAAGAGCCCCCAGGCTGACTGGAGAGAAAGACCCGGCAACAGGCCCAGGGCCCCCGCATAGAGACCCAGCCTCGTCAGGGACTAGCCAGTGCCGCAGGGCCCCCCTGCGGGGTGAGCTCTGTGCCAGACTTGCCCCAGGAATGCCCTCCCCACCCCGTCACAGTCCCCCAGCGGCTCCTGCCCGCTCCCCCTAATGGGGTGTCCCCCGCTTCGCACACACAGGTCGGCGGCTGGACCGTGGACCCCGTGTGCCTCCTCAGCTCCCTCTGCTCCCACCTCCATGGCGACTCCGCCCCCTCCGGGGCTGGCCAGCCGGCCCAGGTGAGTCACCCGCCTCCACCCCACCCCCCAAACCCATGGCAGACTTGGGCTTTGGGGAGGATAGTTTTTGGAGGGGGGATATCCAGGATTTTAATTTTGCATCCCTTTCTCTTACGTAGGAGCCCGCATTTTCAGGAGACTCCTATGCCCCGTACTCTCCCCGTGATAGTCTAATTCCTACCGCCACCTCCCCAAAGTTTGGCTTTGGGGAGGGAATTTTTTTGAGGGGGAATAGTCAGGTTAAAAAACCTTTTTTAAAAAAAATCCTTCTCTCCTTAAACAGGGGTACCTCTCCCCTCACCCCACTGGTTTTCAGGAATCTCTTGTGCCCTGTATCCAATTCCCACCCCCACTGTGGATCATCTCGTTCCTCTATCCCCACCCTATCCTCCATCTCTGAGCAGACCCAACCTTCCCCTGATGTCTCACCAGCAGGAAGTTCTTCATGATATCTCTCTCCCACACTTCTTGCTATGTCCACTGCTTAGTTTCAAAATGTGAAGAGGACCTTGGTCTCTAGCCATTTGTTCTGAACTGATTTCCTGATTCTTCATATGCCTCAGTTTCCCTGATGGGAAGATGGACAGGGGCACCCTGGGACAGGATCCTAAGGGCTCAGGCTCCCAGCTCAGGCCTGGACATTGCTGTGGGAGAAAAACAGTCATCTGAAGGCCCAGAGGGGAGGAGGGGCCAGGGAGTCAGAGTTACAGCAGGTCAGGGGCAGCCCTGAGGGGGCCGTGACTTGAGGGTGGCAGAGGAGGTGTAGTGGCAGAGAATCCAATGGGTCGCATGGGCGCCATCTTCTCTTCCTTGCGTACCCTGCTCCCCCTGGAGAGGGGCAGCAAGCCTTGACTTTTTCAAGAAGAATTAGGAGAAGGAAAAATGTGACAGCCTAGGAAAAAACAAGGCTCCAGAGCACGGTACTTTTAGCTGTGTGTAACTCAAGTCTAGCAAGAGATTGGCATGCTTGGCATCACTCACAGGGCACCCAGCCCACTTCCTTTCCCGGCTCTTGGCCCTGTACTGACCGAACTTAGGGAACAGAGATGTGTCTGCGCCCAAGGCTAGATGGCAAGTGGGATGGCTTCACCTTGAGCGGCCACATGTGCGGTGGAGGTCAAAGTGGGGCTAGGACAGGGATGGTGATGAGGTAGAGGACGCAGGCGCTCCCTGGATAGAGCAGATGGAGCGTCTCGAGTTGGGGTGATGGAGGGAAGTGAGGCTGGACTTGGTGAGCTCTGATGTCCCAGGTTATGGGGTCCCAGGCCTGTCCACATCTGGAATCTACTCTGATGGAGGAAAGAGTCGAGAGCTTGAAGGGACCTTCACCCCAGGGCTTTGAAGTACAGAGAAAAGTGGCTGTGCCCAGGATCTTGTCATCACTTTATACTTAGCGCTTATCACACTTCCCATTCCCCATGGCTGGGTACGAGGCTCCTTTTTGTAAAGTGCAGGACCAGAGACGTTCAGCAAATGCCAGAGTCACACAGCAGAGCAGGATCAGAGGCCACGGAGGAAATTTAGGCATCCTAGGCCTCCCAGACTTGGCTGGGAATTGAGTCACGGGAGAGCTAGAACGGAAACGGTGCACAGCCGAGACTCCGGTAGGGAGAGACTGTAAGCTCAGAGAGTGGCTGGTCGGGAGGCAGGCCACTCTCCTTCCCCACCGCCCACACACACCCTAGGCCAGATCGTTGGGGGTTGGGGCCTTAAGAAGACCCTGAGAGGGGACCGGAGGCCAGACTCCAAGCCACAGCCCTTCCCCCGCTTCCACTAGGCTGTCTAACCTCCCTCCCTCCTGCTGCAACCCGAGTCCCGGGCGGCGGGCCGGCGTATCGGGTGACCGCGGCGACGCAGCCACCAGCCACCGCCGTTCCTTGGCGGGGCTGCGCCGGCGGGGCCGCGCCAGGGAGGGGGCCAGAGAGAGGATGTGCACGGCGGCGCGCCGTGCCGCGCCAGGTGGAGTCGCGGTTACCGGGGCGACCGGGGCCCGGGCCCTCTCGGCGGCGGCGGCGGCGCCTCTCTCATTGCAGCAAAGGGCACCGGCGGCTGGGGCTGCGGAGGCGGCCGGGGGAGGGGAGAGCCCGGACGGGTGGGAGTAGGGGGCTGCCCTCCCTCCCCCGCCCGACGCGCGACCTGGGGCTGAGAACCCCGCGTATACACCTGTGGCCGCAGGTAAGGGGGAGCGGCTGCGGGGTCCGGGGTAGTCGCCTCGGGTTCCGCGGGGCGGGGGCACGGAGATGGGGGCCCTTCCCACGACTCCGAGGGGCGGTCTGGGGGTGGGGGGCTCGCAGGCCGTTGCGGTTCCGGATCCCTGAGAAACGCCCCCTCCCCTCCCCCATCTCGTTCTCAGCCTTCCGCAGGGGACCGGCCCCCACCCTGAAATGTGGCTGGCGTCCCCTCCCCCAGCCTCAGAAAGTCATGACCTTTCCGGGGTGCGCCCTTGCCCCGCCGCAACCCCCCTCCCCAACACACACACACTGCATTGGGAAGGGGTAGGAGGTGACCATGTCGACGGGCACACAGGGGAGAGGGCCGGAGTAGTGCACGTGCGTCGCGGTGGGAGGCTGGCGCCCTCGGGGGGCATTAAGGAGCCCCAGCCTGGCGGGGGCAAGGGAGGCGGGAGGCGAATGTTTACGTGGACGCGTGTTCACAAGAGTTGAAAGGTGGGTGTGTGCGCCGGTGCACGGAGAGCCAGGGGACTAGAGCGAGGGTGCGACCCATAGGTTGTCCTCCCTCTCCGAAGGATGCATCGTCTTCGGGGCTCGAGGTCAGGGAGGGGTCACGCACTCACCTAACCTACAGAGGACGTCTCCCCAGGGGAGGGGAGAGACCTCAGCTGGCTGGGCTAAGGCTCCCAGGGGACACGGCCCCGCCCTCCCAGCGCACTGCGTGGGGGAGAAAGGACCAGCTGCAGGGGGGAGGGAAGAACCCCACCAAGGGCGCCTAGGGTGGAGGAGGGAGGGAGTTAACTCCTTAGCCCCCAGAGGGAAGAAGCTGTTTCCTCTTCTCAGCAGGGAGTTTGAGGACCCCCTGGCGCTGCTTCCTTGGGTCTCCAGGAAGCTCCCCTTCTCGCATTTCTGAAAGCCTGGTCCCTACAGAGTGGATGGGTTGGCTTCCATCTTATCCTCCTAGAACACCTCTCATTTTGCCCCAGCTCCTGTAAGACTCTTCCCTACAAGTGATTACCTGGAAGGGCCTCTCCTACTCAGCCCTTTCTTTTTTTCACTGTCTCACTGTCTTCTGGGAAGGTGAGACACCCCTCTCTGAGAATGGGGGAGGGAGACAGCTTTGCCCTAATACTGGAGGTTTTCACTTGGGTTGGCGAGCCAGACCTCTCTTGGGCCCTTCCTGCCCTCTGCCCTCCTGCTGGGGGTTTCTGGTGCTGGGAAATTCCCAGGGAAAAGACATGGAAGGCTGAGCTGTACTGGGTGCCAGGAGATGGAAAATGGTACCAGACAAGAGTATGCAGAGATACCCCCTTCCACCTGTGGCTGGTCCTGTTTTCTTGACACTCATTCATGGCCAAATACTTGTTGAGAGCCTACTCTATACCAGGCACTGTGTGGGGCAGGACGGGAGGAACAGACAACCAGGAAGAGGGTGAGGAGTAAAGGGTGCTGGAGATTGGAGGAGGAGAGTCCTACCTTAGCAAACAGAGGAGCCCTCCGCTCTTAGGCACCCAAGGCTGTCCCATGGGTTTAACACCCTGGAAAGAGACAGAGACGGGAGATAGACGGCATCCCCAAGGACCTCTCCCTACTATGGTTTTTGCCCTCCAAGGACACTGAGTTGCCAGGAGACTCTGTGCCTCACTGCTGGTGGGGCCAGCGTGAAGGGGGATCATCCTTCCCACTTTCCGAGGTGACGGAGGGGCAGGATTCTGTGTACTCGACCAGCCAGCGCCCGAAGCCCCAGGACTCTGATCTCAGCCTCACTCCAAGTCCACCAAGCACAAAAACAGCATCTCTTCCACCTTTACCCGCTGGTGGGGCCTGGCTGGCCTGTTCTGTGGCACTGATGCCACCCAGTCCTCTCCCCTGGCCCCAGCTACTGAGCCCTCCTTTCCAGGTCTGGCCGCCCCATGGATGTGCCCAGCGTTGCCTGAGGCAGGCCCAGGTTGAGGGCATGGCTAGCGTGGCTGTAACCAGGCCCCATCCCTGTCCCCCTCCCAGAGACATGAGGTGGGCCCCAGCTGTGTGCACATACTGAGTCTGACGTGTTGACATTTGGGGCGGGGGGGCGGATCTTCTGCTTCTTTTGAATCAGGAGTTCACCTACCTGCCGCATGATGTCTGGGACATCACAGGCATGGCACAGTGACCGAGGCGGCCAGAGGCACCGTGACCTGGCTAGTGGGGGGAAGGAGGGGCGAGACTTTCTCTTTGTGTGTGTCTCTGCAGCTGGTGTGCGTGTATGTGTGTACATATGTGTGAATGGGTATCCATCATGTCTCTGTCTGTTTCTGTGACTCCCTAGGGGCCAGGGGGCCCTCTGTGATTCTGCTTGTGGGAGTGTGTGTGAACAGGGCCGGGGGTGCATGTTTTGTATGAATGGGGTTGGTCCACGTATGAATAGCTCTGTCTCTGAGTTTCTGTTTCTGGGGTTGTTTCTGACCATGGAGGGCTTTTCTCCAAGTGTTTGTGTCCCTTTGTGGGCGTGTCTTTGTTGCTCTGGGTGTGTTTGTGGCGATGTCATTACTGGAGGATGTCTGCGCGTCTGTACGCAGCTCTCCGTGTGGGCGCTGTGGGTGGCCTGTGTGTACACGGTGTGATGGTGGTGGTGGATGAGGGACGGTGGCCTTCTCTGCAGAGCCGTCCGTCACCACTGGGGCTGCAGACATGACTCTCGTCATAAACCTTCCCCTGCCCTCTGCCTGGCTCTGCCTACCCTGCCCCCACCCCCCCCTGCCATCACACGTCCACTCGCTCTGCTCTCCCTCCCCTCCCCAAGGCCACAGGCAGCTGTGGCTACAGCCTGATACTCCAGTCCCCCACCTCCCCTCCCCTCAGCACCTGTGGGCATCCCCTGACACCCAGATTTTGCTGTCCCCTTCCTCTGCCTCTCTTGGAGCAAATGCTGGGGGGAGAGGTGGGGACTGTGGCCCAGAGGGGATGGTCCTGGTGAGTAAACCTCTTCATCCTAGCCCTAGCCTGGCATCACCCCCACCCTAAAGATCCGAAGCCTCCAGCCCAGCAGGGCCCCTGTCCACCTCCTTTCCGCCACTAAAGTATTCAGACGGTACAGGACACCCCGCCATGGTGTCCTCCCCCCATCAGGGGCCCTTGGTGTCAGTCCCCTCTGCCAGTGGCTCTGAGGCCTAGGGAATCTCGTCTGTTGGTGCCAGGCACCCCAGGGCCAGGCCATCTGCTGCCTCTGTCTTCCTGCGGAGGCTGGCACCGGTCAGCAGGGTGCCCTCAGCTTTGCCAAGAACCAATCCGGCCTCCGGGCCACTCCTCCCTTGTCCTTAGCCATCTGGAGGGGCCTTCTGGTCTCCAGGGAACGCAGGGTGACTGTAGCTTATTGTGAATGAGGAGGAACCTGAGGCCCCCATTCTAGGGGAGCAAGGAGCCCTCCCCTCTCATCTGTTCAACCACAGAACATTGCCGACACTCCCTTGCTGTCCATGGCTCCCCATCCATTGCCCAGTGCTGTGGGGTGATGGGCATCTGTCCACTTTCCCTATAACCCAGGTCCATCATGTTACACAGGCCTCCCTGCCCTGGGCTTGGCCCCCTGCCTCCCTCTTCCACTCCCTGCCCCATCAGCCCTCCTGGGGTCCAGTCCCATCCCACTCAGCTTCACACAAATACTTTCTGCTTGTCCAGCCAGTTAAGTCTCAATTCTTTCGCTTGGCATTTAAGGGCGCTCCTCTGGCCCCAGGCCCTTCTTCGCAGCCTAACCTGCTACTTTCCCAGGCCCTGCACCCCAGCCAAACTGAACTGTTCCCTCAACACACCCTGCACATGCCTCCCCAGGCCCTCTGCTCAGCAGGCTCTTCCTCCCAACCTCCGGCTGCTCATTTTTTAAAGACTCACCAAAAATGCCACCTCTTCCGGGAAGTTTTCCCTGGCCAGCCACAACCAGATGCCATTTCTCTGACCCTGCAGCTCCAATTCAGCTCTGCCAGTGTCTCACGTGTTCCCTGTATCATGGTCATCTGCGTCTTTTCCTGCCTGTAACTCTCCGAGGACAGTTACTGTGACTAGGTTATGTGGCTTATAAATGTCTGGAATGATGGCTCTCCCCTCCCCCAGCAGCAGGCCTGGAGCCTGCTCAGGGCCATCCCGGGCCTCCGCCTCCGTAAAGAATGGGATGTACCAGGCATGGCGTCCTTCCTGTTCCTGGGAGGGTGGAGGGCCCATGTCCCAGGGCTGAGTCCTGAGCGCCAAGGGTCTCTAACCTGCCCCTGGCCCTACTCTGTCCTCCCAGCGCCCCCGCATAACCATCTCTTCTCTTATTTCCATCAGCAGCCAAACTACTGGAGTTTCAAGGTCAGTGTGTGGTGCTTCTGCGTCCGTGACAACCGCATGTGCTCTCCCGCCCCTGCCCCTCCCTGCACATGCTTTGCACAAAGTTGGACCGTCTGGTGTGGGTGGTGGGTGTGGGACTGCAGGCTGGGTCTGCTGCTTTGAGAGAGCCTGGGTTCGCCTGCCAGGGGCTTGTGGATCCAGTGTGGGAGTTTGTGCCACCCGTGCTGGGGATCTGGGCTGGGGATGCTCAGGCTTCCCCAGGACGTGAAGAGCATTTGGGAATGAGAGAGGCATTTTCCCCAGCCTGGAGGGACTGCTGGCTCCAGAGGACGGAAGTGGACCCCGTGATCTTATTGAGGGCCTTGTTCTCTGAACTCAGACTTCATCTTCCAGGGAGGCCCTGTGACTATAATGGGCCCCTCATCCCTTTCTTACTTTCCACTGTGGGGAGCTGGTCAGTGCCAGGCAAGAGACTCACAGACTTACACCCCCAAACCCATTGCCCAAGTGGAGGGCTGGGCTCAGGGATGGTGTCTTCCTGGCTCCTCTGGAGAGTTTGGACCATCCACAGCTGGAGAGATGTCTGTCCCCTCCAAGGGCATCCTGCTGACCCCCAAGGGAGCACGCTCCTGGACCTCCTCTTCTCTGGCACCAGGCTCAGAACTGAACTAAGTTAGACTGCTGCTTGCGTCCTGGAGTCTCTGGTCCCTAAAATCCTGGGCATCATGACAGGGGGTGGGAGGTATACATTCCAGACTTCCCTAGTGTCAGTGTCATCTTTTTTTTTTTTTTTTTGAGGTACGCGGGCCTCTCACTGTTGTGGCCTCTCCCGTTGTGGAGCACAGGCTCCGGATGCGCAGGCTCAGTGGCCATGGCTCATGGGCCCAGCCGCTCCGCGGCATGTGGGATCTTCCCAGACCAGGGCACGAACCCATGTCCCCTGCATCGGCAGGCGGACTCTCAACCACTGCGCCACCATGGAAGCCCACCCCCCAGTGTCTTCTTGCTCCAAGCATCTTGTTTGCATGCATCCTCCCAGAGAAAAGTTCTTGAATCAGAGAATCACGGAATTGTAGAGTCGTGGCATCAGGCATATAGCCTTTTTGGAGGAAGCAGTAGAGCAGAGTGGTTCAATGCACGGGGCCAAGGGCCAGGCTGCCTGGTGGTGAATTCCAGTCTGCCACTAACTAGCTGGGTGACCTGGGGCAAGTTACATAATTCTCTGAGCCTTGGTTTCTCCTCCATAAAATGGAGCAGCAGCTACATCATAGAGTTGTTGTAAAGGTAGAAGAAACGCGAGACTGCATGTCTTAAGCACAGTGCCTGGCTCATGGTGAGCCTTACCTCATTAGCTATTAGCATCCTGGAATCACCTTGGGAACTTGTCAAAACCCTTGAACCCCAGGCTCCAAGCCCCAGAGATTCAGATTTAGTGAATGTGGGGCACTGGAAAGAGTGTTTTTAAAAGCTCCCAAGTGATTCTGTCCTAGCCTGTGGACAGCTTTTGGGAATCTCAGATCCTAGTCTGACTGCCCCACTCAGGGTTCCGTCTGCCTGATCTCTGACCAGGAGTCGTCGGTTCCTCACTGGAGCATCTCCAGGGACCGGTGCTCACTGCTTCCGATCTTTGGGAAGCCCTTTCCTATCTTTGGAGAGCTCCGCTTAAATTACTGTTTTGTTCTCTTGCCATCTCCCTCTAGTCAGGAAGTCCTTCTGGATGTCTCACTGTTTTTCTGCTCTGTTGTCCCAGCCCAGGGCTGGAGAGACATGCTAATGGGCTTTCTCTCTTCTCAAGAGGGTTTTCTACAAAGGCTGTGAGAATGGAAAGGCGCCCAAGAGGCCAGGATGGAGACAGGAACCGGTGGGGCAGGGAATGTGGGCATCTCTTCTCGCAGGGTTCCCTGGGCAGCCTTCTCAGTCCCTAGGATCCCTGCCCCTCCTTCATTCTGGCCCTTGTTCCATCTTCTTATTGGCAACTCACTTGTGCCCCCCAGGCACCGTGGCCACCTCCTACTCTTCATCCCTGCTAGCTGCCTCATTTTGCCTGAATTCTGTAGCCCCTCATCCATACTAGCCTGGCAACCACTGACCTTCCAGTTGCCTGGCAACCTCATGACCACCAGACGAGGCCTGGTTCCCCACACTGGGAAGAGAGAAGGGCGTAGGCCAGCACTAGTGATCAGCCTAGAACTGAGCTGCAGGGTCCAAAGTCTGGGCACAGGCATTCGCCCAGTGGGTCCAGTTGCTACGCTGCCTCCCTCCTCCCCAGAACCATGCCCACCCGCTGGTCAAGGCATTGTGCTTGAGGCTGGATGCCCGCTAATGTCCCCAAATCTGACCTGCTATATCTCCAAGCCCTTGAGGACACTTTGGGGACAGCTGGGCACACTGTCCATCAGAGGAAGATGCTCTCTCTTTTCGAGAGTGCTAATCCGACTGGAACATTAAATTGAGTTAATGTGAAGATGGAGATTAATTAGGGTTTAATCAGGACTTGGGGATGGAGGGAGCTGAGGAGGAGAATAAATACTTCCTTTTTAGAGACACTTTTACTGTTTTTAAAAAAATTATAAAAATGATACATTCTGATTGCGCAAAGTTCACCCGGCAGAGAAATGTATAAAGTAGAAAGGGAATGCGCTGTCTCAACCCCAAGATAACCAGTGTTAATGGTTTTGAATGATTTGTTGCTGTTGAAGATAGGCAACATATTTTAAAAAAAAATACAATTGGGCAACATGATTTTTCTCTTGATAACATGTATATGTGGTGATACATCTAATATATATATAACGTTACATAACAGGGAATGATGTAGATCTGATTCAGTATCTTTCTCCCTTAAATAGATGGGTTTCTGACAGCAACCAGGTTTGAGGGGAGGGGCTGGAGCAGACTGGCAGGAGCTGTGGCCCTGAGTGACAGCCCCAGCTTTCAGCCAGAAGTAGGCTCTTGAAGTGCAATTGAAATCAGGGTGTCCCCTCTCCCAAGGAGAGAGTAATCGAGCTGTCCCTGGGGCAGGGAGTGGTCACTGAGTGACAGCCTTCCCTGGCCCCAGCCAGGTATCACCCTCAGCTGTGGCTTCAGGGCAAGGGGCTGCTATGTTGGTACTGGAGGAGGCTTTTCTGGGAGGCTAGCCAGGCAGGTTGGCTGTGTGGCAGCATGTGCCATGCAGGGAGGGGCTGAGGCCTGGCACTTATGATGTGCTCGTGTGGGCTGAGCATGTGCACTGCATGTACTAGGCAGGTAGTCTGTGCGAAACTGGGGTCCACCTGGCTTTGGGAGGTTTGGGGTGGTCCTCCCAGTCACTCTAAGTCCAGGACATTGTTCCCAGCTCTGTGAGGGCCCATACCTCCCAGGGCTAGGATCCTGGGGTCCTTAGCTCTCTGCTTTCTCCCTGCTTCCCGCCCCCACCCCAACCCTCTGAACTCCACGAAGGATAAGTTCATCGCTCGCGAATCCGCCGCTTAATTAATGTCTGGAACTAGTGCCCCAATTTGCTCAACGATTCTGCGGCTCACCTCGGTGACAAATTTGTGTTCTTATTGTTCTTTGGAATCTTAAAATAGCAGGTGTGCCCATGGCTCCCGCTCAGATGGTTTCTTGTCTGGCTTCCCAGGGTGCCTGAGTCCTTTGCCCACTCCTTACCTGCTGGGTGTCCCGGGGAGGCCAAGGCCCCAAGAGGTTGGGGAACTCTCCTGCAGCCACACAGCGAGTCTGGAATCCAGGAGACCCTCCGGGGTGTGTGTGTATGTGTGTGTGTGTGTGTGTGTGTGTGTGTGTGTGTCTCACTGGCTGGTTGGCTGGGGCTCCCTGGGCCTGGATGGGGGCAATGGGCAGAGTGAAGGGGTCATTCCTGGTTCCTCTTGCCCCGCCCTGCCCCTGCAGACCCGCAGCTCGCGCCACACTCAGGGATCCCAGCCTGGGCTGGCAGACCAGGCGGCCAAGCTGTCATACGCCTCCGCTGAGTCACTGGAGACCATGTCGGAGGCGGAGCTGCCCCTGGGCTTCAGTAGGATGAACCGCTTCCGACAGAGCCTGCCCCTCTCCCGCTCAACCAGCCAGACGAAGCTGCGCTCTCCAGGTACTGCCTGTCCATCTTCCCTCCAGGCTACTGGCTCCTCCCTCTTCTCTGCTCACCCTGGAACCCTGTCCAGCCCCTTTATCACTCCCTCTCTTCTCAACCATCTTTCTAGTAAGCCTCTGGCTCCCTTCCCCCATACCCATCTTCCCCCCCTCCCCCCAGCAATCTCCTCCCCACAAGGCCTCTCCCTCCTCTGTGGCTTCCTTTCCAACTTTCCTCCACTTCTCTCTTCCCTCACTTCTCTCTCCCTCGGCACCCCCTGCCCTGTCCCTCTCTCTCCAAGCCTCCTCTCTCCCTTAGGCTTCTCTCTCACCCCCTTCAGCAGCCCCCCTTTCCTTCATCCCCTCCCTTCTCACCTCTCTCCCCCAAAGCAACCACTCCCTCTCAGTTTCTGCCCCACCTGCTCCTGCCCCCAATTCCATTTCCTCGTCCAGACTCCAACCTGCCTGGGGTCGAGGAGGTGCCTTAAGGGGCCGGCAGCATGAGGAGTGCCTGGGTGCACCTGCACTCCGGGGCGGCATCCGGTCTCAGACCCTGCCTCTGCGGGACCAGCGCGGCTCCCCAAGGCTCCCCGGGCCGCCGGCGTGGTGGTGATAGCGGCCCTGACAGCGAGGGCGGCGTCTCCTTCGCAGGGGTGCTGTTCCTGCAGTTCGGGGAGGAGACTCGGCGCGTGCACATCACGCACGAGGTCAGCAGCCTGGACACGCTGCACGCACTCATCGCGCACATGTTCCCGCAGAAGCTCACCATGGGCATGCTGAAGTCGCCCAACACAGCCATCCTCATCAAGGACGAGGCTCGCAACGTCTTCTACGAGTTGGAGGACGTCCGGTGGGCGTGGCCCCGGGGGGGATGGGGTGGGCCTCCCCATACTCCTCCTCTGAGGGGGGGTTCGACGCCGCAGGTCATTCCCCAGCCCCCTCCTGACCCAACCTCAGCCCTAACCCCTCTCCTCCCGGAGCCCTACCGCCCCGCCCCCTTCTTCGGTCATCCCGGCCCCACCCCCTCCCTTTAAATCATCCACCCCTGCTGATTGGCCTTGGCTTGAGCTAACCTGAAAATGGCTCGTGAGGCCGAGGAGCTGTACGGGGTGGAAGCTGCCGAGTGTGTGTGTGTTGGTGGCAGGCAGCCCGAGGCACGAGATCCACTGAGCAGGGAGTTAGGAAGGGGCTGGGGCTCGCGGCCCTTCTTGGCCACCCCTCTACCGTCTGCCTGGAGTAGCTTCCTCTCCTCATCACAGGGCTGGGGGATGGTGACCCTCTGCACCCCTCCCGCCCCCAGGGACATCCAGGACCGCAGTATTATCAAGATCTATAGGAAGGAGCCACTCTACGCCGCTTTCCCTGGCTCACACCTCACCAACGGGGACCTCCGGGTATGGCTGGGGAGGCCCCGGGCATTGGGGAGGCTGGGCAGATGGGGTCCAGGAGCACAGAGTCTAGCCACTTGTCACCAGGGACAGCTTTGGAGAAGGGAATGTGGAGGCTGAAGCAGAGGGTGGCCTCCATTAATTGTGGAGTCATGGAGGAGTCCTTCCCCTCATCTGCCACTTTCCCCTCTTGTCTGATCAGATTTCTCGAACCCGCCTCTAAATATTTTAGGAGACCTCTCTCAGGAACCACCCCTTACCTTTTCGCTTCCCATCCCCCACCATAGGGTGGGCTGGGGGTCGCTCCTCTGGTGCCTCTCCCTCCACCACTTCTTCCTCCGTGCTGGGAGCCCTGAAGGGAAAGGGGCCCAAGATGCAGCAGGAGGGTGGGAAGGCAGAGAACAGAAGGGACTTCCTAAGCGTCAGGGGGGAGCTGCTGGCTCCTCAAGTAAGAAGCAAGGGATCCCCCTTTGTGACCAGCCCTGTGGGGTTCGGGGGCTGTCTTCTGCACAGAGAGAGATGGTGTATGCGTCGCGGGAGTCATCGCCCACGCGGCGCCTCAACAACCTGTCGCCGGCGCCTCACCTGGCCTCCGGTTCGCCGCCGCCGGGGCTACCGGCGGGGCTGCCGTCGGGCTCGCCGTCCCGCTCGCGCCTGTCGTACGCCGGGGGGCGCCCGCCCTCCTACGCCGGCAGCCCCGTGCACCACGCGGCCGAGCGGCTGGGAAGCGCCCCCGCTGCACCGGGCGTTAGCCCGAGCCCCAGCGCCATCCTGGAGCGGCGCGACGTGAAGCCGGATGAGGACCTGGCGGGCAAGGCGGGCGGCATGGTGCTGGTAAAGGGCGAGGGCCTCTACGCCGACCCCTACGGGCTGCTCCACGAGGGCCGCCTGAGCCTGGCCGCGGCCGCCGGCGACCCATTCGCCTACCCGGGCGCCGGTGGCCTGTACAAGCGTGGCTCGGTGCGCTCACTCAGCACTTACTCGGCCGCCGCGCTGCAGTCCGACCTGGAGGACTCGCTGTACAAGGCGGCGGCCGGAGGCGGCCCGCTCTACGGCGACGGCTACGGCTTCCGCCTGCCGCCCTCGTCGCCGCAGAAGCTGGCCGACGTGGCTGCGCCCCCCGGGGGCCCCCCGCCGCCGCACAGCCCCTACTCGGGGCCGCCCAGCCGCGGCTCGCCGGTGCGCCAGTCCTTCCGCAAGGACTCAGGCTCCTCGTCTGTCTTCGCCGAGAGCCCCGGAGGCAAGACCCGCAGCACCGGGGGCTCCTCGACGGCTGGAGTCCCCCCTCCCGAGCTCTTCCCCGGGCCTGGGGAGCGCCCGCTCGTTGGGTTCGGGCCGCCTGTGCCAGCCAAGGACACGGAGACCAGGTGAGGGACGCTGGCGAGGCCCGGGGCTGCGCGGGTGGGGTGGGGAGCGGGGACACGGCAGAGTCCGTGGCAGGTTGTGTCCTGGACTCTCAGACCCGGGAATCCTTGTAGACCCGGAGTAGCCTTGAGGGGTCGCCAGAGTATCTTGGCCGTGGCAGGGAAGGCACTGGAAAGACGTTTCATCTGCAAGGCCTGAGAGCTGGACGAGAGGGCCCCAGACAAGGACCCTGGAGACCTGGGTTTGCATCCGGTCCCTGAGCCTCAGTTTCCCCAACCAATATTAAGGCTGAAGTAGAACTCTTTATTTAGTGCCTTTCCTGCTCAGACACAGAATGTGCCGCCATGAGAGCTGTCCAGCACAGGGCCGGCTGAAGTCCACTGGGGAGGGGGTGCTGGTAAGAAGTGGGGATGGGGAGAGAGGCACATTTCTTTAAGTAGCCTCCGAGCTGGGGAACTCTTGCCCATCATTCAGCTCCCTGCTAAGGGTGCAAGGCTGGAGGAGGTAACCAGGGCACTGAGCTGCCCCCCCTCTGCCCTCAAGCAGCACCGCTAAGAGGTGAGAAGAAACGATTCATTCACACAGCTTTCTTGTGGCCTGTGTGCCAGGCACTGCACTGGCCACTGTTTATGCCAAGCTGAGCAAACACAGTTCCCGCCCTGCCTAGTGAGGGAGACACAGCAAAAAATACTTGTTCTTCCCTTGGGAGGGTGTACTCCTCAAGGCTGTTGGGGACTCTGGGATGGCTTCAGAGGAGAGGGTAGGGAGGAGGGCATGCTGGCAGGGGGAATACATGTGCAGAGACCCAGAGTGACCTGGGTGGGGCCCATTAGGGAGCCAGTGATGAGAGATGAGTCTGGAGAGGGAGGGGGTGACTGTCAGACAGGGAAGGGCCTTTCCAATGTTGGGGGTGGGCTGTGGACCCTTAGGCAGTGGGACCCTTTGAATTGTCTGTGCTGGTGGCTGGGGAGGGAATGGTATTTCTTCTAATTATCCATCTTAGGAATGGGGCGCTGGGCAGGAGGGACCCCATGCCCAGAGATGGGGTTGCTCAAAGCCACCGTCTTCCCCAGGGAGCGCATGGAGGCCATGGAGAAGCAAATTGCTAGCCTCACTGGCCTGGTGCAGAGTGCCCTGCTGCGAGGCTCGGAGCCGGAGACCCCCAGGTGAGGTGTTTCTCCCAGCACCACTGCCCAGGCATGTGGGTGGGCAAGAGGGAGGGAAGGCGAGCAGCAGGAGCCCTGGGCTCAGCTCAGCCAAGGTCTCATCATTTTGCCCTGGGTGAATCGCCTCCCTTCTCTGGGACTCCATCCTAAGATCAGGGGACTGGAGGAGTTTATGTTAAGGTCTCACCCAGCTTTGACAGTCTGGGGCCTGGACCCCCTGATGGCCATCTTTTCCCTGTGCCACAGTGAGAAGATTGAAGGCTCCAATGGAGCAGCCACCCCCTCAGCACGTGAGTGACCCTTCTTCCCTCCCCCACAGGTTCTTGCCCTCTCTGAGCCTCCGATTCCTAATCTGTAAAGTGGCTACATCACCAGGCTTCAGTGGATAAATGAGTAGTCACCTTAGACCAAGATGCCTTCGCTCCGGCGCTTTGCTCCTCGCAGAGGGCTGACCACTAGTTGGGGCAGGGAGCCAGAGCCACGTCTCTCTGTGGCTGCTGTGTGGGGTCAGGAGTGGGGAGGACTTTACCCCAGGCTCACGATTTATTCCCTTTCTCCCGTCCTCGTGGTCCCTGTCTGCAGCCTGCGGGTCAGGCAGCCGGAGCAGCGGGGCCACCCCAGTGTCCGGCCCTCCCCCGCCCTCGGCCAGCAGCACGCCTGCGGGGCAGCCCACTGCCATCAACCGTTTGCAGATGCAGCTACACCTGCGTGGCCTGCAGAACAGCACAAATGACCTGCGCAGCCAGCTTCAGCAATTGCGGAAGCTCCAGGTACCACCCTCTCCGGGGCCTCGCCCTGTATCCCGCTTCCTCAAACCCCGCCCCCTCAAACCCCGCCCCGCCAGAACCCGCCCACGAAACTCCTTCCTGCGAGTCTGCCCCATCCCGAGGCCCTCCGCTGCCCACTGGGGTGCTCTCCGAAACCCTCCTCGAACTCTCGCCACCTCGCTGAGTCTCTACTCCCTCACCAAGCCCCCATCCCTCGCCCGGGTCCCCCTCACTGAGCCCTCTTGCCCCTTTCCTTAATCCTCACCGCTCTCCTGAAGCCCCAGTGCACCTCACTGAGCCCCCTTCTCCGGTCAGTATCCCTCAGGGCAGTCCCTGTCCCTTCCTGCCCCGCATTCTCTACCCCCTCCCCTCCCTTGGGCGGAAGCCCTTCCCCCAGATCCCCTCAGCTCTCCCTTCCTCAGCCCACACAGTCTTCCCGGGCCCGCCCCGCCTGGCAGATGGTCCCACCAGTCAGGAGCCTGGCATCGCTCTGCCCGCTCCTCGAGAGTATCCCAGGGCCCGTCAGGTGAGAATAATGAGTAGAGACAGGCTGGAGAGGGGGCAGAGAGTTGCCATCTGGGCAATGGGTAAGATCTCGCCCACCCCCACCTTTGCCCCAACTCGGCCTTAGAACTCGGTTTTCCCGGCGCAGCCACGGAAGCTCTATCAAACCCCAGTGCTTGAGTCCTTCATCGAAGCCATAGCCATGCAGCCGCAAGGTGGGCAGGGCCCTACGTAGGGCCACCCCTTGCCCCCCAAATATCCGCTATCCCGTTCTCCTGCCTCAATATTTACCCAGAACGAAACATTTTCCTCCGCCCCCCACCATCTTACTCCCTCGCTGCAGCTAACCGCCACAGCCATGCAGCTGCACCTTCTGCAGGGCCCAACGTGGCACTCCTCCCTCCACTATCCCAGGCCGTTCTCCTCCTGCCTCTATTCTTCCCCAGAACTAAGCCCTCGGCCTGTGCCCCCCGCCATCCCACCCTTTCACTGCTGCTCACGGCCACAGCCGAGCACTGGTATCTTCCGTGGAGCTTGCCCCGCGTCGGGCTCTCCTCTGCCTGCCTCCTCCTAGCCCTCTCCCGGCTGCGCGCCTCCGTTCCCTCCCACCCGCGTCCATCGGTCCATCTGCGTCCCGCAGCTACAGAACCTGGAGTCTTTGCGCGCGCTGCTGAAGGGCACGGAGGCGGAGCTGAGCATGCGCGTGTCGGAGGCGGCGCGGCGGCAGGAGGACCCGCTGCAGCGGCAGCGCACCCTAGTGGAAGAGGAGCGGCTGCGCTACCTCAACGACGAGGAGCTCATTACCCAGCAGCTCAAGTGAGGCTGGGCCCAGCTTTGGAGGGAGGGCTGGGGGTGCGGCCTGGGTGGCCGGCAACCTGGTTTCACGGGGAGGCGAAGCTCCCTTCCTTCTGAATCACAGGTGACGTTCTGAAGCCTGATTTCCTTCTCCTCTGTGGCCTGATTTCTCTGTGACCCACAAACCTTTGACCATCTGGCACAATTCCTGTTTTCTTTTTTTCTGGCTTGATGCCTGCTTTTGCTATAGTCTTGCTTCCTAACGGTCCACAGTCTGGCTTCCCCGTGGCCTGCAGCCTTACTCTCATGCGTCCAGCTGCCCGATGTCACTCTGCCCTCTGCCTGCTTTCATTCTGGCCTGTGACCCGTGCAAACTGACCCTCGAGTATTCAGGTGGAGCTTTCAGGTGTGGCCAGCTTGGTCAGCTTGGTGCTGACCAGTCACAATTGCCACCACTCCAATTCTCTGATCTCTGAGACCAGGTATAGCCAAGGAGAACCCTCCTCCCGTCCTAGTGCAGCTGAAACAGGGCTCCAGGAATAGAGAGCCCCAAATGCTTAGACATGGAAGGGTTAACAGAAGACAGTCCTCTGCTCCAAATTTAACAAATGGCTGTCTGGCCAAGATTCGATTGTCTGGCACCATTGAAGGGAGAAGCTGCCTGCCGCTGTCCATCCACTGAGTGAGCGGCCCCAGCCCACTGCAGCCTTCCCTGGTCAGTCCCTGGGGTCTGAGACAGAGGCCCTGCTCCTCCATCTGGTCTCCCTCTAGGTGGTTCAGGGCACAAGGGGCCTGAGGTCCAGCTCCAACACTGAGAGGCTGTTTGATCATGATAGTTTTTGCCCTTCTCTGCACTTCAGCTTCTTCACCTGTGCCCCGTATTAAGATTTTCGCAATTCTTCCCAGAGAGGACTTGGATTCTACTGGTCAGCGACTTGGAGCCAGGGAGGCTGCTCAGAGGAGCCCAGCTTTCTCACCAAGCTCGTAATTGGCTGTATCACTTGCAAGGGGCTACTTGAAAAGGGTCCCTGCTCCTCAGTCTTGGGCGCACAGCCTATAAGTACATGTGCTTTTCAGTGATGCACAGGGCAAAGATTCTCATGAAACCTTGTGGCTGAGATGAAATAAGGGGCCATCCCACTTGGAAATAAGCTGGTGGCAGCCACTGCATCACCCCTAGTGTGACAGCTGAGTGTCAACTCTTGTCAGATCTCCAAGTAGACTGATGGCTGCCAACCCCCTTACCAAGGGAATTCCATTTACTCAACTTTCCTGTCCCCTTTTTGCCCCTTTTTATTCAGCACAGAGGAGCGGGATTGGAATTTTCAAAAGGAACTTTACTGAGACATTAAAGGAAAATAAAAGGAAATATAAAAGTACAGAGGCAGAAGGGATGAAAGGATGTATTTATGCTCCTGTCATATGAGTGTCTGGTCCTCAGCTTCCTGGGGACCTCAGTTCTCCAGGAGTACACAGACTCCCTACCCGCTGCCGTGTTATCAAACCCATTGCTCAGACTGCTCACTTGAGAGAGCTTGGGGGCTGATATATGCTTCCGGCAGGATTCTCCATCTACTTCGAAAGGAGTTCCTGCCCTTTTTTGGGTGGGGCTTGGGCTGCGCACCAGCATTGCAGTGGCTTCGGCTTGGCCAGGGGGACGTCCCTGCCCAGCTCCCATAGCCTCCTGGCATTAAGTCAGCCAGCAGGCCCATCCTTACCCCTGCTGTGGCTGCAGCCCCTGGACACTTGCTCTTGCTCGGCTTCACTCTGCCCCTTCCTTTTGCCCCCTGGCATCTTGCTGGGAGTAAAGGCTGATTCGGTGCTTCACTCAGCTTGGCTCACTCACTTGACCTTGTAGCCAAGCACTTGAGCGCTGTCTAGACGTTGCCCTTAGGGAAAGCCTCTGCTGACTGAGACCTTTTGGCCTCTGGAGCATAATGTGACCCAGCCCAGGACCAGCTTTGTACGCATGTGACCCGTGTAATCGCACAGGGCCCCATGCTTGTGAAGGCCCATGCTTGGTTTAATGCTCTGCTGTCACTACCTTGAAATTCTTAATTTTTAAACTAGGGGCAAAATCTTCATTTTGCTTTGGGACCCCCAAATTATATAGCTGGCTCTGTCCTGACCCTTACCTCTCAACTCCTCTAGAACTAAACCTGGGTCTGGAAACCCCACTACTTTCTGATCCCAGTGCCTAGACTTGGGCTGGTCTGGACTCACTTGCAGAGCCTGCCCAGGTTATGGGCCCCCAAACTTTGGCAGACGGTAATGATCAGAAAATCGAGGTGCTAGTTGAGCCTGAGGCGGGCCTTGTCCCTTCTGCCTGAGAGTTGCAGTGTTATTTCCTCCTGAAGGCTTACCTGAGTGCCCTTCCTCTGCAGAGTGATGTTTGAGTGACCATTTTACAAAACTGGCCCACCCTGAGCCAGTCAGGTTATCACACACATCAAAAGAGAGTTGTTCTTTCGCGTGTGGCGGAGGGAAGGCTGGGTGGGACAGCGGGTGGGTGTGGGGTGATGTTAGTCCAGTGTGGGAGGGAGATGCAGCAGAACCCAATGGCTGAAGTCAGACAGGAGTAGATCCTGCTTTGCCACAAAATAGGTGTGTGACCTTGGACAGGTTAGTTAATCTCTCTGAGCCTCTTTTTTTTTTTTTTTAATGCCAAAGCCCATTGTTAGGGTAGCTTAGTTAGGGTAGCTAATTAATTAGTTAGGTTAGCTGCTATAACAAATTGTATAATGGTTCAAAAGAAATCAATATACCTTTCTTTCTCATGGAACAGTATTGGTGGGTTAGCGGAATGGGTTTCCTCCACGCAGTCATTCAGGGACCCAGGCTAATGGAGGTTTTGCCATCTTCAATAGGTGTCTTCCAAGATTATCCACAGGGTCATTTTCTTTCAACCAAGAGGAAGGGGAAATGAGCATGGAGGAGCTTACATGGGAGGTTTTTAGGCGCCAGGTCTGGAAGCAGCGTGTAACCCTTCCACTCATATTCCATTCACTAGACCTCAGTCGAATGGCCACTTCTACCTGCAAGGGAGGCTGGGAAATGTAGTCTAGTGCCTAAGCTACTGTCTGTCTGTGTGTAAACTGGAGGTAATAATGGTTCCCACTCACAGGATTTGTTGTGAGGATTAAATAAGGTAAAGAAAGTGAAGAGATGAATGTGCACCTGGCAGGCCATAAGCACTTAGTACAAGAGAGCTCTTTAACTGGTAGTGCTGACTCACAGGATTTTGTCCTTGGCTCCAGTGTGATCTGTCTTTTCACCCGCTAGTTGGATGAAGATGTATAAAGCATGCTGATAAGATTTGCTGATAACACAGAGCTCTGAGGGGGAGCAAATCTGTTGGATGGTAGAACTGAGATTCAAAAGTTGTTCCTACGTGGATGGTTGAGCTGAAATCCAACAGATGGGATTTGACAGGAATGTATGTAGAGTCCCGCATGTGGGTCAGGGACATCAGTGACTCAAGTACAGAACTGAGGTGACCTACCTGGGCAGAGTTCCTTCTTTCATTTATTCATTCCTTCCATAATTATTTACCAGGCATTTATCCTGCTCCGGGCACCATGCCAGGTGCTGGAAATCAGAGATGAATCAGAAAGACATGGTGTCTGCCTGCCTAGAGTTGCTTAGCCCAGGAAACAGGAGCTCCAGGGAGGAAGCAGACCCCCAACCCCAAGTGTAGGGAAGGGGGGAGAGGTTCCCATTGGAACCTGAGGATGAGTGGGAGTTAGTCACACGTGTGCGTGCGTGCGTGTGTGTGTGGGGGTGCTAAACGGAGTGTTCTAGGCAGAGGAAATGGCATTATAGAGGCCCAGGGAGAGCAGCACATACGAGGACCTCAGCAATTCTGGATGGTTCTAAACAGAAGCAAGCCAGACGAGGAGGACAGTGGATGTAGCTGGAGGGAAAAGAAGAGCAGCTCCCAGGGACTGACCCCTTGCGTTAGCTCATTTAATCCTCACAGTGGCCCCAGGAGGGAGGAACTCTTACCATCCCCATTTTTTTGGGTGAGGAAGTTGAGACCTGGAGACAGTCAGCAGCTGGGCCCGTGAGCCATGGCCGCTAAGCCTGCACGTCCGGAGCCTGTGCTCTGCAGCAGGAGAGGCCACAGCGGTGAGAGGCCTGCGTACTGCAAAAAAAAAAAAAAAAAAATGTTGGGATCCATTTCGGGTTCAAAACAGGCGGTGGTGACTCGGTGGTCTGATTTACATTTTAGAAATATGGAGGGTTTTAAAATGACACAAGGGCTTCCCTGGTGGTGCAATGGTTAAGAATCCGCCTGCCAATGCAGGGGACACAGGTTCCAGCCCCGGTCCGGGAAGATCCCACATGCTGCGGAGCAACTAAGCCCGTGCGCCACAACTACTGAACCTACGCTCTAGAGCCCGTGAGCCACAACAACTGAGCCCGTGCACCACAACTACTGAAGCCTGCGCACCTAGAGCCTGTGCTCCGCAACAAGAGAGGCCACCTCAGTGAGAAGCCCGTGCACCGCCACTAAGAGTAGCCCCTGCTCGCCGCAACTAGAGAAAGCCTGAGCGCACCAACGAAGACCCAATGCAGCCAAATATAAATAAATAAATAAATTTTTAAAAAAAGAAAAAAAAAACCCCACAAGCTCAGCATAAACCATCTGAAAATTGAAAGCAGCTTTGTCATTGAGGAAAGAGGCTGAGTGTCTGGATCACTGGAGCAAAGGTAGATGGACGTGGCAGTGCCACCCTGAAAAAAGAGAGACGCTTTAGGGGCCCATGCAAGTGCCTCCAGTTCTCTGAAAAGCTGCCAATTTCTCTGCTGTGTCCTTGGCATAATGAGGATCATAGGATGCAAGTTATCGGGAGGGAGATTTGGATTGATGTTAAGAAAGATCAGAACTTCAAAGAGGAGACCCAGGGCACCTGTTAGGGAGTGCTTCTGTCTCATCTCTGAAGTTTGGCTTTCTGATTTCACTTGGGCTTGTGGTCTGGTGAATGGCTTTTAATTTTGATCTGATTGGTGGCCTGATTTCTTTCCAGCTGCCCAATTTCAGGGGGCTGGGCTGGGGCCAGAGGGGCTGAAAGGGTCTTTCTGTGTGGCTGCAGTGACCTGGAGAAGTCGGTGGAGAAGATCCAGAGGGACGTGTCCCACAACCACCGACTGGTGCCTGGGCCCGAGCTGGAAGAGAAGGCACTGGTGCTGAAGCAGCTCGGGGAGACGCTGACTGAACTCAAGGGTGAGCCTGGGGGCACCCCTACCCCCACCCCACTGCCTGTCCTCCCAGTCCTCGGAGCTGCTCCCTCCCCAGCTCACTCCTTCCCTTCCCCTCAGCTCACTTCCCAGGCCTGCAGAGCAAGATGCGGGTGGTGCTGCGTGTGGAGGTGGAGGCAGTGAAGTTCCTGAAGGAGGAGCCACAGCGCCTGGATGGGCTACTCAAGCGCTGCCGTGGGGTCACAGACACGCTGGCCCAGATCCGAAGGTCATACTATCCCTGAGTTCTTATCTCTGACCTCCACTTTCCCAGTGAGGTCACATGCTGAGCTAGATCAATAAGTCAACCTGACCCCTTATCCCAATTCCCACAAAGCTCACTGGTGTGCCCACTGGATCTGCACCTCAGCTCTGATCTGTGGCCCCGTGCATGTTGTAGGCTTGGCCCTCCCATTTGCCGGATGCAGTCACTCCTCCCCCAGGCCCTTCCACTTGTCCTGCAAGATCCCAGAGCCCTCCTCAAACCCCACCTCCCCCAGGCCAGGCTTCCCTCCTATGGGGCCACCACCCTGCAGGCCTCACAGCTGCTCCCAACTCTCCCAACCCCAGGCAAGTGGACGAAGGTGCATGGCCACCCCCCAGCAACCTCCTGAATCAGTCCCCCAAGAAGGTTACAGCCGAGACTGACTTCAACAAGAGCTTGGACTTTGAAATGCCACCCCCCAGCCCTCCACTGAAGCTCCACGAGATGAGCGGGCAAACCGAGGGGGCCCCTCCGACCCCGAAGGCGGGCAACCCCACCAAAGGCCTGGACACTCCTGGCAAGAGAAGCGTGGACAAGGCTGTGTCTGTTGAGGTGCTGGGCCCGGCATGGGGGGGCCAGAACTAGGCTCACACGTTCTCACAACCGTCCTAGATTGGCAGGTGCCAACACGTGGGGACTTGTTCCTGGGGGAGGAGGAAGTCTGAGAAGCATACTGAGGGTGACATTAGTCCTGCTAGACAGAAAAGCATATTATAAACCTATGATAATCAAGGCAGTGTGGTGTTAGCATAAGAGTAGATTATGTGCTCAGTGAGACAGAATAGAATGTCTAAAAGCAGGTCTAAGTTTATCCCAAGAGTAGTTTGTAATGAAGGTGGTATTCCAGGCTCACAGGGAAAGCATGTAATACTCAAGGAGAAGCCCGAGGCTCGGACCAAACGGGAGGCTTCCTTTCCATTCCTTGCATGTGTGGCCGAGGCCCCAAAGGTCCAGGAGCAGGGCAGCCACTTCAGTCCTGACTGTCGACCCCTCCTCTCAAGGCTGCCGAGCGGGACTGGGAGGAAAAGCGGGCAGCCCTGACCCAGTACAGCGCCAAGGACATCAACCGGCTTCTGGAGGAGACACAGGCAGAGCTGCTGAAGGCCATCCCTGACCTGGATTGTGGGAGCAAGGCCCACCCAGGCCCAGCCCCCACCCCTGACCACAAGCCCCCCAAGATGCCCCACGGTCAGAAGGCAACCCCCCGAACGGAGCCCAGTGGAAGGAGAGGCTCAGGTATGGGGGCAGGTAGGGGGCTGGCGAAGAGCCCAGAGGAGGGGAGCCCCAGCCTCAGGAGCTCTCAGGTTGATGGGGGAGGCGCTTGGGAGTGAGAATCTTTGTGGTCAGGCTGCCAGAGGAGGGAGGTGCTGGCCTGCCCCTCGTCCATGAAGGGAGACCCAGAAGGACGGGATAGCACTGGACTCCATCCAGGGATTTTTCCCACTGCTCTGACTTCTGCTGAGAGGACCATGCAGGGAGGATGAGCAAGTCCAGGCAGAGGGTCGTCCCCCTGCACGTTCTGACCCAGTGTGTGTGCCAGAAGCGAGGCTGTGGTGAGACGGGGTGCGGGTGCAGCGCTGAGCTATACGGACAGGGTTCCTGTGCTCCCTGAGCCTGTGAGAAACCCGAACCAGAAATGGCAATTGTCATTCACACGTTTATTCATTCCTGCCACATATATTTGTTAAGCACCCACTTATCTGCTAGGTGCTGGGGATAAGGAGATAAGGCTGCTTTCAAAGAGCTTAAAATTTCATGGGAGAATAATACTAACATCTGTGTTTATCAAGCACTTACTATGCGGCAAGAACTGCTCCAAATGCTTTTCTACGTATCAATCCTTATAATTTTGCAACAATCCCAGGAGGCAGATACAGTAATTATTTCCATTTTACATATGAGGACACTAAGGCTCAGTGTGGTTAAGTAATCTGTCCCAGGCCATACCTTGTGTGTAAACCGGAAATAGGATTCAGGTGCTAAATGCTGTCCTAGAGGAGGCCCTGGAAGGGCAGGAAGGGCTTCCCATGGAAGGGGACTTTCCATTGGAGCCTTGCATTCCCCTGACCAGTGAGAGAGGGCATTCCAGGGAGAAACAGCACGTACAAATGCCTGGAGGTCTGTGTTTGGTGTTGCCCAGCTGGGTCCAGACCAGGGATTAGTAAGCAGAGCTGAAGCTGAAAGGTTGGCAGGCTCAGAGGGTGCTGGGCCAAGAAACTTGAACGTGGTTTGGGGTCATGGGGAATCGCCGGGGGATCAAAGGCAGAGGAATGTCAGGCTTGAGGGACTTTTCTGCAGGTTGCAGGAAGCAGCCCCCACCCCGGGAAGAATTGGGGGAAAGGAGAGCCTGGTGGGTGGGGTCAGACTCTCAGAATAGTACTCTCTCTTGACGGAGAAAGGATGAAGATCTGTGCAGGGCAGGGCTGAGGGGTGGGCAGGAAAGGGATGGATTAGAGCAGTGATTCTCAAACTTGAACGTGCACGTGAAATCACCCGGGGATCTGCTAGAACGTGGATTCTGATTCAGCAGCTCTGGGTGGGGCCTGTGCTTCTGCATTTCTAAGAAGCTCCCAGGTGCTGCCAATGCTGTTGTTCCACGGGCCACACTTTGAGTAGCAAAGGATGAGAGTGCTGTAAGGGGAGGAGCAGAAGGGCTTGGGGTTGGATTGCACGGGGAGGTAGGAGAGAAGGAGGAGGGGGCCTGTGTCCTTTCCCCTGCGCGTTCCTCTCCCTTCCTCGCTGGAGGAGGAAGCCAGGTTTATCCTAACCCTGGAGTCAGATGTGGCGCACAGACTCCAGGGTTACGAGTCCCCTGACCCCCAGTCCCTTGGCCTCCCGCAGATGAGCTGACAGTGCCCCGATACCGCACGGAGAAGCCCTCCAAGTCGCCCCCGCCGCCCCCTCCCCGCCGGAGCTTCCCCTCCTCCCATGGCCTGACCACCACGCGCACTGGAGAGGTCGTGGTCACCAGCAAGAAGGACTCGGCCTTCATCAAGGTACCACCACCGCTTGGGTAGGGGTCAGGGGGTCGAGTTGGGGGGATGCCTGAGATGACCTCTGGAGACTCTCTGGGGTGGTCCCCTCTCTCAGAGGAAGTGGAAGGAAAGAAAGGAGGCTGGCCAGTGGTGACTCTGCTTCTGGCTTGGGCTTCCTCCATGGCAAGGGACCATCCTGGCACTTGAGGAGCTGGGGCAGGTGGGAGATGGTCTGGAAGTGCTAGGGCCTAGGAGACGAGCTGGAGGTGCCCAGAGCCTGGTCTTCATGGGGACCGGGCCCTTGCAGAAGGCCGAGTCTGAGGAGCTGGAGGTGCAGAAGCCCCAAGTGAAGCTGCGCCGAGCCGTGTCCGAGGTGGCCCGTCCGTCCTCCACACCCCCCATCATGGCCTCTGCCATCAAGGATGAGGACGATGAGGACCGCATCATCGCAGAGCTGGAGGTGGGTCAGGGGCGCACCTGGCCCCCCTGAGTCATCAGCCAGGCCCCCCCGCTTTGCCTGTCAAACTGACCCCAGGGTGAGGTGCCCGGACTAGGACAGGGGACTGGATTCTTGGGTCCCCACTGAGGCTGCTTCAGGATCCTCTCCTTCTTGCCTCAGTTTCTTCTCCACTGTAAAATGGGGGAGGGGGTCTAAAGTCCCTCCCCGCATGTTTGAGTTTTTTACTGTAGTGTCTGAGACACCCCGCAACTGCCCTGACACCTCCTGTGCTCTGAGACCCCCATCCCCTAGTGTTCTGAGAACAGAAGCTCTAACAGACTCGCCCATACACCTTGACCCCCTCCCAGTGCTGTAAGTCACCCAGACTCGAGTGCTCTCAGCACCCCTCCCCGAGAGGCTGAAGACCTGGTGAGGGGCCAAGGAGGGCCAGCCCAGGCCACCCCCTCCCCATGAGTGCCTGGGTCAGAGCCCAGCACCCCCATCCTCCCTGTACCCCCTCCTCCAAACCTGCCCCCACCTTCTGCTCCCCAGGTGTTTGAGAGAAGCTCAGTGTCTCCCCTCCCCCCCACGCCCTGCCGCCAGCCGATCCCCACCTTGCTGTTCCCCCAGGACCCGGGGCCTCCTGGGGGCTCAGCCCCGGGCCCCACGTGGAAGGTAACGGGCTGCCCCCCACCTCTCACGGCGCTCTCTCTGCCTGTGCCTCCACGCTTCCTCTCCTCACTTCTCACACTAACCCGCTAGAACACCCGCTAGAACCTGCCAGTCACATCCCTGAGTCCCACCACTGCCACGGCCTCACCCCCTCCCCCGCCCCAAGGACGGGTGCATCACCCTTCCTTCCCTCTCCAGACTCCAGCAGCCTGGTACCTGGTGGCCCCCTTGGGTCTGCCTTTCCTTACAGGCCTGATTCCGGGTCTGGCCTGTGGTGGGTGTTTTGTTCGTATCTGCAGCCAGAGTTTAGGTCTGGCCCGAAGCCCACGTTTTGTCTTTGGTCCAAGATTGGAGTTTGGATCGTGCTTGTTACATGACTTTAGGCCCAACTCAAAGTCTGACACTGTCCTGAGCCCTCGCCTGGTCCCTGCCCCCATCTCCCCTATTCTGCTGCCTGTGCCAGGTGGGGGCTCTTTCTCCCACTAGAATCTATGCCTTGCGCTGGGCACCAGGATGCCCAGGAGGAAGGCTCATTTACAGCCTCTCTCCGCCCCATGGCCCCATCTGGGCAGAGAGCTTGGGATGGAAGAAACCCATGCCCTTCCTTGGCTGCTGGTTCTGTCTTTCGGTGTTGGGCATTTCAACTTCAGTCCTTGCTGCTGTCCTGCTGCACTTATTTCCTCTTTATTTTTTCTTGGGAATTTGAGGGTGACCTGCTGTCTGCACCCCAGGGGGCTGTGCTTGGTTGGGGAGGGGGAATTGCGGGGCGGTGGTCTGGGAATCTCTCCCTCTACCCAGTTAGGTTGTAGCAGGAGGGCGTCTGCTCTGCAGAGGGGAGCCTCCCGTGCACTCACGTGTTCACCTTCCTCATCTGGTTCTCTTGGCCCACAGTGGGTTCTGTGCTGGCCGCCACCTGAGTTTTAGCCTGGCTTGAGACCTGGTGGTGCTTTGGCTCCCTGGCGGGGGGAGCAGACAGGCACCAAACAGGTAGACAGTGCTGTCTGCTGGGCAGAGGATGGGCACAGAGCAGTCCAAGGAGCCGTCTGGGGGTGAACGGTATGGCAGGGCTGCCCCAGGCTGGCTGTGCCCTCGGCACCTTGGCCCGCTGCACCCAGCCACTGCACCTTTCTGGCCCTGGAAGCCAGTCCTGGTGGGGTCCAGTGGGCAGAGCCCCTCCACTGGCCCTTTGGGCTGGCTGCCCCTCTGTATCCTGAGGCGCCATCGGGCAGTGGAGCCGGGCGGGCATGGGTCGCCCTCTCTGCCTTCCCAGTCTGCACCTCCCACATCCAGGTAAGCAGGTGGCAGGGCTGGGTGGGTTGCCTGGGGCGGGGGGTCTGGGGGTCCCTGCTGCCCCCCACGCATCTCCCCATGGCTCCTTTTAGTGGAAAGAGCACTGGACTTGGAGTCAGACTGCCTGGGTTCAAATCCTGGCTCTGCCACTAGCTAGCTGTGGGTAAGTGACCTTGGGTAAATTACATGACACCCCCCACCTCAGTTTCCTCGTCTGTAAAGTGATGAGAGTCGTAGCCATTTCACGGGCAACAGAGAGGATTAAAGATGAAGGTGTTTACGGCAGTTCCTGGTATAAGACTCTGCTCGGAATTAGACCAGAATTCACTCAAGTGGGGTAGGGGCGACTGGGGGCCTCTCTCTGTGCCCCCACCAAAGCCAGAGCCCGGGACGCTCACACAGAGGCAGATGCTCTAGCTTTGCCCAAGCCTGTGCAGCAGAGGGACTTAGCTGAGCCCCTCCCGTTGTGACTGTGAAGCCCTCAGAGAAAGCTCCGGAAGTAAGGGGTAGGGACCAGGAATCTCTGGCCTGAGATGAGGATGGCAGACCCACCCTCCGAGGCCAGAGGCCAACACCTGGTCTCCACCCACACGGGGCTGCGGGTCTCAGACATTCAGTTCGAGTCAACACATAGCTGATACCTATCGAGCGCTTACACCGTGCCAGGCAGTGTTCCAAGCACGTGCACACTTGTGCTCACTTCATCCTCCACCAGCCTCACGTTACTGTTACTCCATCGCACAGATGGGTAAACTCCTGGCAGTGACCATGAGAGCTGCTCTCAGAGTTTAACATGGGTGATGAGATGTAAACGTGTGTCTGTGCTTCTAGGTAAACTGGCATCTTTGCCAGAAAGTGGGAGACCGTAGGGTGTGGTGGAAAAAGGCCTGAGTTCTAGTCCCAACTTTGCCTCTAACTTGCTTGGTAAACTCAGTCAGGACCCTCCCCTGCCTCGGTTTCCCTATCTGTGAAAGGAAGGGGCTGGGTTCACCCACATGCGACCCCCCATCCCAGCTCAGGGTGCTTTGGTTGCAGGGACCACACTCTCGCTCATCTTTCCTCTCTTCGCAGGCTGCCGCAGGCCGCAGGCCCTTCTGCGTCCCCCGGATCATCTTGACAGAGTGTGCCCCCAAACCTCCTTCTCCACCAGAGGCCAGGCTTGAGGAACCCGGCCTCAGGACAACCCCTACCCCACGACCCCGGTCCCTGGCTGGCAGCGGGAGGGGCTGGGATAATCCACAGGCCCCGCCAGGGCTAATGGCTGAGGTTTCCCAGCCCGGGAACAGCTCGATGCTGGAGAAGGAAGGGGCGGCTCTGAAGAGACTGGGGACAGGGAGCTACAGCCCAGAAAAGGGAGGAGCTGGGGTCCCCTGTTCTCGGGGACCTGCCCCAGACAGGACCCAGGAGCCCTCCACTGCCGAGACCTACCCAGAGGAGACCCTCAAGGACTCTGGACACGACGCCCAACCCTGCAGCGGGGACTGCAGGGGTCAGCGTGCTGCTGGCCTGGGCTGCACAGGGCGCGGTGCCACCACCCAGCGGATGGACAGCCTGGAGGAGACGCTCCGGGAGCTGGAAGCCACCCTGAGCCAGATGGGCACGGCCCCTGCCGCAGGATCCCCTGGCAGCCCCCCACCCCCGCCCCCTGGTCCCCAGGTGGCTGCCTCCTGCCCCATCCTCTCCTCTTACCTTCCTGCTCCAGTCTTCAGAGCTGGAGGGAGTGGGAGGCTGCAGGAGCACCATGCCAGCCCCCTCCTCCCACTGGCCTTCTCTCAGCCCCGCCCCCCTCCTGGGAGCCCGGTGCCAGACTGGGTTTGCAGGCAGAGCCCCTGGCAGGCTGGGAAGCTGGCCTGCCCAGGGATCAGCCCAACCAGCCGTGGTGGGGACCAGGGCCTCTCCCTCTGCTCTGTATCTGTAAACCGACAAATAAAGTTCTTTCCCCCTTCTGCATCCCCACACTCCCCTCCTCCTCTCCTGTCTGACTCTCTCTGTCTCTGCTGTTTCTCTGCCTGCGCCGCCCTTCTGGGCAGGCCTGGTCCCTGGGGTGGTTCAAGGGGGCTGGACTTGTCCATCTCTAGGGAGACTTCGCCCCCATCCTCCCATTCAGAGGAAGATGTGGGCCTGGGGCTGCCAGTCCTACTTTGTCTGCCATTATAAAGACCCCTCCCCCCAGATCTCAGGCACGTTCTCTCGGGCCAGGAGTGGTGGTGGTGGTGCCAGGGACCTTCACCTTAAAAATGGCTCCCCCAGAAGGGCACCAGCTGCCCCCAGACTACTCAAGGAAGCCACCAGGGTTCTCACCCAGGAGCTGTTGGGAACCTGGCCGGGGGCCCCGTCCCCTCTCCTGCAGGGAGGCCTTAAACCTGGTCTGAGAGTGGGCCTGATTCCTGGGGTGGGGGGATGTGGAGCCAGGGAGAGCTCTCCAGGTCTCAGAGGGCCCACTGTGCCTGGGGTGCCTGTGTGACCTCACCTCCAATCCTGACCCTGTTCCTCTTCCTGCAGAGTGGCGGTGGCAGTGTGCCACCCATGAAGGTGGTGACTCTGGGGACCTCTCGGCTGAAGGCGGCCCAGGGCCAGGCAGGCAGCCCCGACAAAGGCAAGCATGGCAAGCAGAGGGCCGAGTACATGAGGATCCAGGCCCAGCAGCAGGTAAGCCTGGGCACCACGGGGGCGGGGCCTGGCCCCCATTCAGACGCCCTCCCCCTCCCCCTCCCCACTGGCAGTGCTGTGTGCTCTTGCTGTGTACTGGCCATCTCCTGCCAGTATTCCTGTGACCACCTTCCTGCCGGCTGCCCAGAGAGGTCCTCCCCGCCAGGACTGCCCCACCGGTCCCTTAAGCCATCTTCTCCTTCCTCTCTCCAGTCCCAGGGCTCAGGATCTGGTTCTCAGCCAGATGGCTCCTCTCTCAGAAGGCCCCTCACACAGGACCAGAGAGGGCTGTCTCCTCAGCCGCTCCTGGACAAGACCCTGCTAAGGCTGGTGGCCCCGGGGTGTGGAAGGGGCCTTTATGCCTGTCTTCCTGCCACTCCGCTCCCCTCCTCTGCTTCCTTCCCTCTGCTCTCAAGTCCCACCTGCTCTTTGGGGTCCCCACTCTCATCTCAGCCTCCCTCTTAGCTCTTAGGCCACCTCCCAACTAAGGGAGAAACCAGTTTTGCATCTGTTTTTCAGTCTCGTGTTTGGGTTGCAGTGTGGTTAATGGGGAGGGGGAGGAAGGGGAGAAGTACTTCGGCCCCCCGTTGGGTGCCGTAATAGTGGTGGAGGCGCTGCACCCTCTTTCAGATTTAATTAGTGGGCCTGGGACAGTATATAGAGTTGACAGCCTCACCCATGGATGTTTCTGCCCTGTGGCTCACCTGTGGCCCGGTCGGAAGATGCAAATGGTCCTCAGGCCTAGATGTTCAGAGAGACCTTTAGTGCACTCGTTTGGTTCAGTAAATATTTCCGAGCAGTTCCTGTATGCCAGGTCCATTCTGAGTGTTGGCTGGGAGTGGGGGTCATGAAATGTCCAGATGCTGTGACCTGAAGAAGGTTCTAGGCTCAGAGGCAGGAGGTGAGAGATGGGCAAGTCTAGCCACCTCCTTTACAGATGAGGGGACAGCTCAGAGAAGGAAAGGGACTCCCCACGGGCCCACAGCAACGTGGCATCAAAGCCAGGACTGGGACCCAGGGATCCCAAAGCCCTTCCCACCACACGGCTCTGCCCAGCCCTGGGCACACAGGTCTGCCTGCTGGTCCTCTGGGGAGTCCAGTGGAGACGCCCCTCACTAGCTCCCTGCTGGCCAGCCGTCTTCCTCATGGGTCCCCAGACACATCCTGCCAATCCCACCCCCAGCTCTTTTTCCTGCCACTACCAAGGATGAGTTCCCCTCATCCTGTCCAGGCTGGTCTCTCTTCGGTGTGTAGAACGGCTGCCGACATTCCAGGGGTGTTCACTTGTGCCGGACACACACATTAATTCGTTGCACACTCACTGCTCTGAGGATGGGCCTTATTATCCCCATTTGACAGATGGGGAAACTGAGGCTTTACCCAAGGTCACAGGGCCGGCAAGTGCTGGAGCAGGGTTCAAATCCAGACTGACACCCAGGCCCCCACCCGCGGGCGCCTCCCTCCTCTAGACTTATGCTCCCCACCTCTCACCCTGACTCCCAACTCCCCCGGCACCCAGCTCCTCCGCCTATTGCCCTCTCTCCTGCCCCTCCAGTCACCTCCATCGCCTCCACACCCTCTCCTCCATTCATCCCTCAACCCCACCCCCTCCTCCTGCTCCCTTCCAGCCTCACCCCTGGGCTTGGCTAGGTCTCCAGTGGCCTCCAAATGGCCTCTTTGCACCGTGCTCTACGCACCTCTCTGCAGCGTTGGGCACATACGCTGCCCCCCCTACGCGCACTGGGGGGCCGTGGGACCCTCCGCTCCTTGGCATCCTCTCCTCCCTTGTCAGCCCTCACTGACCCTCCTGGGCACCTCCCCTCTGCCCACCTCTTCACTCCCCTGCGTCCATCTTCTTCCACAGCCTCTTTGCTGCTCACACCACGTGCTCCTCTCCTTGGGCACCAGGTGACATCTGTCCCTGCCCAGGTCTCTGTTCTGAGCTCAAGCCTGGCCCTGTTGCTCGCCGCTCGCCACTTGGGAAAGTCACCAGCCCCGGGCATCCACCTACGCTGAGGGGTCCCCTGAGCTCCCCGCCTCCCTCACCTTCCCCAGCTACATGGTGCTTCTCTCTTCCCACATGACTGGTGTGGCTGTATCTCACTTTCACTTTTCTAGAAACCTTTCTTTAAAAAAGCATCTTCTCTCTAATGAAGTATTACACGTTCTTTGCGGAAATGTTTTAAAGTAAAGAAATGTTATAAAGCAGCAGGGGAAAAAATTATCCGTACCTCGGTACCCCAGTGCGCGCCCTTCTAAGGTTTCCCTGCAACTTCTGTGACCCCTAACCTATCTTCCCAGACCTGCAGGGTGCGGAGCGTTGTTTGTAAAATGAGGATTTGATTTTATCACTCCCCTAGCATACCACCTGTGCCCTCCAGCCCCGGCTGGGTAAGAAAATCAAAACTCCCTCGCTGGCCGCCCTGGCTCTTCATGACCAACCTCGGCTCCCTCAGCCCAGTTCTCCCTGCCCGCCCCCCCACCCCAGCCCGTCCATTTGCTCCAGTCACCCATATCACCTGGCCCTCCATCCTGAGGCCAGGGCACCGTTCCATCCCAGCTCAGTCTGTGACCCTGGTCAAAGTCCTCTGCCTTCTGCAGGCTCTTTCCTCATCTGTACAACGAGGACAAGAACCCAGAGGCCGGCTTCTGAGTTCATGTAATATAATACCGTGTGTGGGAAAGAACTTCGAAAGCCACAGAGCGCTCTCCAAAGGGAAGGAGTCACCACCATGCTTGGCTGCACTGTACCTTTGTCAGGGCCAAGGGCTGGACAGAGGCCTCTCCTTCATCTCGTGGTTCTGACACTAGGAGCTCGAAGCTGCCTTGACAATGATGAGGGGGAGGGGAATAGAAGTGCCAGGACCAGACAGAGAAATCGGGGTGGAGGAGTGGAGAAAGTTCCGAGAGGGGGTGCAACTGTGCCTGATACCACAGAGAAATCAGAGGAAACGATTGAGGAAAAGCTCTTGGATGTGCTCAAGATTCAGGGGTGGGATGAGAGCCAGATTCCCAGGGGACAAGGATCAAGGGCTTGGTGCGGGCATGAAACTGTGGACACCCCCTCTTCTACTAGGGCTAAGCAACTGTTGGACACCTAGTGTATCTCCTCCATTGGTTCCAGTAAAGAGACTGTAATGAAGGGACCAGCAAGAGATGCTGAGGCACCCAGGGACCAGTGAGAGCAGGAAGCTGGACCTCCCGGGGGAGAGGGGTCTGGGGACCTAGGGTTTAGGGAGTCCTGTGAGAGCTGGACAGTAGGTGCTATAGTTATGGAAGGCACAGCATGCCAGCGACATGGCACCAAGTGGGGAGGGAGTAAGGAAGAAACTTTACCCCCTCTCTCTTTCCGCCCTGTCATAATCCCCAATGGGCAAACCCAGCCAAGCCAGCCAGCCAAGGCATGGCGGGGTCAGCCAACCAGGGTGCAGAGCAGGGCAGAAATCAGATCTGGGGATGGAGAGGCAAATAGAAAATAGCACCCCTCTTCTGTACCAATTTTAAGCATCTTATTTAATCCTCGTAACAACTTTATATCTTTAAAAATCTGTGCATTAATCCCTTTGTCACTGCTGCATCCCTACAGCACCTAGAACAGTACTTGGCACACATAGGCACTCAATAAATATTTGTTGGTTAGGTGAATGAATGGATGAATGAATGAATGAATGAATTTGCCACTGATCAGGCCCAATCCCGATGGAACTAGACAATGCAGACTTGAAATGTTAATATACTAATGATATAATAATAATAATAATAATAATAGCTACCATTTATTGCCTGCATCCTGAGTGCAGGCACTGGGCCTCGTGCTCTGTGTGCATCGTCTCATGTGATTCTGGTGCTGTAGGTGCTGTTATCCCTGCTTTGCGAGTAACAACATAAAGACCCAGAGAGATACCTGCCTAAGGTCACATGGTTAGGAAGTGGCAGAGCTGGGACTTAAACCCAGGTCTGCCAGTTACAAATTCTGCTTGTCCTAACGCTGGATTCTACTGCTTTGCTAGGAAGCATAACTTCGTGGGTGCCGCCAACCCTTGGGGAGATGGCACTCGTGACGGGAACACTGTTGACAAGAACATTAGGGGAACAATGGTGGGCCTCACATGTAGCAGTCTAAGTGGTTTTAGCTGCACATAACAGAAACTCCAAAATGGCTTAAATGACAAGGAAAGGTATTAGCTAACGAAACAAGAAGCAAGGAGGTTCCAGGGTTGGGGAATTCAGCAGCTCAAGGACATCAAGACCTGGGCTCCTTCCATATTTCTGTTCAGGTGGCCCATCATCCCACCCCACCCGAACACATCTGCCTTCATTCCAGGGCTCCTAGGCACACAGATCATTGTAGGAGCAGGAGAACCTTCCCCAGAGGCCCCCAGCTGACCTCCCCTCTCTCCTCATTGCCTGTCTCTAGATCAGTCACTGGCTAGGAGAAGGGAACGGCTTGAATTGCCATAGGTTTTATCAGGACGCATTCCCCTTGGGCTGGGGGAAGCCCCACCTCTTCTGCCAGCCCAGTGCCTGATTCAGGCAAACAGCTAGGAAGAAGGGCATGTGGGCAGGAGGAGGTGGCCCTGGGAGTGGCCCTGGAGGAGGCGCCAACAGGGTCGGCAGCATCAAGATGACCTACGCTTGTGTGGAAATCTATGCCTCGTAGCCTGGAGGGATAGGTCAGTAGGCTCGGGGCGCAGAGAAGGGGCTAGACTCTGGCCCACAGGAAGAGGAGGGGTGTGGGGTTCAGCCCTTTGGGTGTGGCTAACAGTTCCAGTCTTCCCCGGCTAAAGCTGACCATCTATGAGGTTTCTGCCTGTCACAAAGGTGACAAAGCTCTGTTTCTCTGGACATAATTAAGAACAACAGGGGGAGGGATTGCTGTGCACGTGTGGAAGAAGAAGTGTGACCAGCAACCTCAAGGGCGGGTTCACTGTCGGCCAGTCAGGTACATACGGTCTCCTTGGTTCCCTTCCAGGCTGCGGGAGGCACCGTCTGGGTTTCCCCTGCGAAGCATCTGATAGAGGCTGCCCAGCAGCTGGGTGATAATGTAGGTCGGGGAGAAAGGGCGTGACCGTGCCCAGACCTGGCCTGCAGGAGGTCTCTGTCAGTGCGCCACAGCACTCTGCCTCTAGTCCTCATGCCTTGTCTTTTTTCATCAGGATGGGTCGGTAGCTAAGTAAGGCCAGGAGGGACAGTGGATACAACTACAGAGAGAAAACCTGGTCCATGTTGCCCTAACCGAGTGATGTCAGAGTTCTGTGCAGCAGGGTCGCGTGGGGCGCCTGGCTAAAATGCAGATTCCTGAGCTCATGCTAGAGATGGACCCTGGGGCAGGGCCCTGGAGTCTGCATTTGTGACAGGCCATCACCTCCAGGACCAGTAAATGCAAGGGGTCTGCTGGAGGTGAGGAGGGGGCACGGCCGTTTCTGTCAGGGGTGACCTCCCGTTACCCACAAGGCACAACTCAGAGCTGGAGGAACACTTGCGGGGCAGGAGGCGGCGGGGGGAGGGTCTTTAAAGAAGCGCCCCCCAGGAGGACAAGCTCATTCCTCAGTTGCCCCTGTAAGACCTGCTGAGGCTGGAAGGGGCCCTGGCTGGGCTGCTGGCTGGTCGGGCCCTCCTCCCAGCCTGGGCTGCGCCCTTCCCGCCTCCCCTTTGGCAGCTAATGTTTCCCCTCCTCCTCCCTTCTCCTGCCCTCTCCCTGCTCCCCACCTGCTCTGCTCCTGGTGCCTGTCCTGGCCCTGGCCTGCCCTCCCTTGTGCTTCTCTGGTCTCTCTCTCCCACCTTCTCTCTTCCCTATCAGTAACCGTGGGCCTACCCTCCCACCCCAGGCCCTCTGTTCCAACCCTGTGCCCCCTTTCTGCCCCTGCTGTGCCCCCCACCTCCTCCCCTGTCTCAGGGAACTACTCTCTCCAGATCCTCCTCTGATTTCTACTGTTTGCAGTTAATTTTCTCTTGGATTTGTGGAGATTCTTCACTTTTTAAAACCGTAACTGGGGCTTTCCTGGTGGCGCAGTCGTTGAGAGTCCGCCTGCCGATGCAGGGGACACAGGTTCGTGCCCCGGTCCGGGAAGATCCCACATGCCGCGGAGCGGCTGGGCCCGTGAGCCATGGCCGCTGGGCCTACGCGCCCGGAGCCTGTGCTCCACAACGGGAGAGGCCACAGCAGTGAGAGGCCCGCGTACCGCAAAAAAAAACACAAAAAAACTGTAACTGGGGGCCGGCACGAAGCTTCCCCTTCCTCTCTCTGACCCCTGACCTCTGTTTTTGTTCCAGGCCACTAAACCGTCTAAAGAGATGAGCGGGTCGAATGAGACCTCAAGCCCAGTCTCAGAAAAGCCCTCGGCTTCCAGAACCTCCATCCCCGTATTGACTTCCTTTGGGGCGAGGAATTCTTCCATCTCCTTCTAGAAACTCCCTTACCCCCCACCCCCGCCTGCCCCCTCCCTTATCCCTGCCATTTCTCTCCTCGGCTTCCCTTCATCTCCACCCCACCCTGACACCATTCTCCAGATCCCCTGAAGGTGGCCTGTCCTCAGCTCTCTCTGCCCATCCCCTGTTGGTGTTTTTGGTTTTTTTAATGATTCACTTTTAATTATCTTTTTTTAAAAAAAAAAAAAAAGAAAGAAAGAAAAAGCAAACCAGTAAAACTAAAAACCAAAACGTGACACCTTCCCTTGATTTCCTGTTCCAGAATGGCACACTTCCTGTCATCATGTCTCCTTTTCTCTTTCCCCACTTTCCCTCCCAAGTCCATCCTGAAGTTCCTACCCCCCTGCCCCACCTCCTCGTCTCCCACACACTCCTCCCAAGAGCACTCCAAAGAAACTCTACGCGTGGAGACTTGGAGCAGCCAGACACCCCCTCTCCCCTTCCTCGGAAGCCTTCCTGGAGGAAAACCTGGACATTGGACCAATCCCAAAATCAGGCTGGAGAATGGGACATCGGGAGACTTTGGCCCTGGAGGCGCCTCACCTGTCCAACCTCGGGATGTGACTCGACGCCGCTGCTTCTCTGCTCCCGTCCACTCATGCCTGGGTGGGCCTGGAGTCGAGACAGACGGGCTGGAGAGGGAGGCCAGAGGTGGAGGGCCCTCAGGGTGGTGTGAGCCCGTGGAATCTGTGTGTCCTTGGAGAGGAGCTGGCTTCCCGGGACCACCGTCCTGTGGTGAGGAGCTGCCTGGCTGGCGCTGATCCGAGGAAGGGGCACCTTTGGACTGCTGGCTGTGGATGGTGGATTGAGGAGACAGCCTGACACTGGGGACACTGCCCTGGGAGAGGGCAGCCCCGAGGAGGGGTATTTGGTACTTTTAGTTTCCTAATTTAGCACTTTAAGTGACATTAACTTATTTAACGGGGGTGGGGTGGGCAAGAATGAAGGGCCTATAGCAAATTAGATTTTGAGGGTGGGGAGGGTCTGGTTGTGAGGGAAGTGGGGGGAATAGAGAGGGGTTTCGTGGGGGGCAGCGAGGACAGCTCTGACCCCACAGGTGGGGCAACTTGACCTTCAACCATCCTCTTTGAGATTTGAGGGTTTTCAGGGTAGGGCTGGGGACCCCTGGTGAGATCCTCGAGGGTCCCTGAAGCCTGACCAGCCAGCCAGCACCCCCCAACCTGTGGGCGCCAGCTTTGCAGAGGCTGTGGGCAGTGAGGCTTTCTTTTAGTGGGGTCCTGAGAAGGAGCTGGAGAGACCAGTTTTGGTTCTTAGCCCCGCTCCCCCCAGGGCACAGTGAGGGGCCAGCAGGGAGAGTATGTGGATGGGGGAGGAGGAGGAAGATGGAGTGGGGTCCCCAGGGAGCAGGATTCCTATTTGGAGCACAAAGTGGGGTAAGCACAGGGGGTGGGGGGCGTTGGGATTAGTCTCCCCGAGTAAGCACAGAAAGAAGGAGCCATCGCAGGGGCAGAACCTCCTAGACCTTGGAGCCTGGCGTTTGGGGAGAGCCAGGGGGAGCTGTTGAGGGTTGGGGCGGGAGGGGGAATTGGGTTGTGTTCCTTCATTTCTTTCTTTTTCTGTTGTTTTTGTTGGCTCATCCTTGTTTTCTAGCTTTGGATCATTTTTGTACAAAGGCAAGCAAGCCTTTTTGAAAAATAACAAAAGAAGAGGTTAAAAAAAAAATCTGTCCTGAAAAAAAAATACTCTGGAAAATAGAAAAAAAAAAAAGGACCTCATAAATGATGCAATTACTTTTAATTGCAGGGAACTCTTTACATTTAAGTGAAGTGTCTTAACATTTTATATTGTTTTAAAAATATATTTACATATTATATATATATATAATATACGTAATATAAATATATATAAATATTTAAAAAAGAAAAAAAAAAAAAGAAAACCACGGCACTCTCTCCCTGGCCGCTGTTTTGGCAGGGGAGGGGGCTAGAGGGTGGGTACATTGGCCTGGCTTCTGTGGTCCAGTGAAACGGTTTGGTTTGATTCGGCTGTACAGAGACACCCTGACTTGGGAGGGAGGGGGGGAGTGGTGCCCCCTCCTCCCTCCGCTCCATTACTCTCTGCTTGCTACTTTTCCCCTGCCGCACCTCCCACCCTCAACCCTGTGCCCTGAACGTTTGCCCCACCGTCATTGTCCTGAGTTGAATGTCTCTTGGAGGGGGGGAAGAAGGGCGTGTCCATCCACAAGGGAGCAAATGGAGGGAGTCCTGTGCCCCACCCCACCCACTCACGTGGAGCCCAGTGGAATTTGCATCTTTCATTTTGGTGCCTGCACATTTACAGGAGGAGTTGTGCGCAGCCTCTGTGTGTGTGTGTGTGTGTGTGTGCATGTGTGTGTATCCACTGGCACAAGTCCATTCACCAGTGTGCGGAGGGAAGGAAGCATGAGCGTGCACAGGCGTGACCTCCCACACGTGTGCAGGGAGGCGTGCACACAGCGGTGCATGTAAGTGGCCTGGGCATTGGCATATGCCCACCTGCACATTGATGTGGAGGACCTTGGCGTGTGAGAACACATGTAATGCGTGACCTGTGTGTGTGTGGACAGAAGGGTGTGCGTGGAGGGGCGTGGGAGGTGCGCATGCACGTGCACATGCGTGTAGACCCCGCGTGTGGGAGCGCCTGTGTGTATGGTCCTTGGCCTTGCACCACTCGCTCCGGCTCCCCTCCCAAGCCTCCAGCCCCTGGGCCCTCTCAAAGCCCCCAGCACGTCAAGGCCCCCCCAGCTGCATGCGCCTCGCTGCTCTGTCCATCAGTGTGTGCTTGACCAAGAGAAAACCAAGACGTCTGGGGGGACCCCTGTAGCTGGTCTCCCCAGCCCCTGCCCACTGTGCTGTGTTACTCGCATGGGGGGTTTCTCTCCTGCCCCTTCCACAATATGCTGTTTCCCCAGGAGCCTCAGGCCCGAGGCTCTGAGAGGGGTCCCAGGTGGGACACCCCAGGGCGAGCCCGGCTCCGCACCCCGCCCTGTCCACCCTGTAGGGCCCGTGTTGGTGTAGCAGTGATGGCTTCTGTGGATATTCTGTGACCTCTGTCAGTGTAACTTGACAATTTCTAAATGGAAAAGGGTTGCTGTGTTTTCTCTGTCTCTCTTTTTTAATGTCCCTTTTCTTCTCCCACTTTCCTGCTCTCTTTCCTTTTCGGTTTTTCTAGCCGAGTGTTTGGGGCTTAAATAAAACTTGTTTCTTTTTCCTCTCCTGAATCTCCTTCCTGGAGGCTGCTGTCTCATTATTTCTCATCTTCATCCTAGAAGGTGCTGGGGTGGGTGGGATGGAGGATGGGGAATCCCTGGCAGCCACGGCCCCTCAGCTGAGCTGGCAGAGCGCGAAGAGGGAGGGGCCGAAACAGGGGCCCTGGGGCTGCTGCTGCCTGCAAGAGCCCGTGAGAACCGACCTCATCCAGATGCTGGAGAAGAGGACCGCTAACTCACGGGGCGCCAGCTCTCCACCATCAGCGAGGAAGCTACTGGCGTCACTTACACCTGCAAGTGACAAAGCCAGAGGCATTAGACGTCTTGCCCAGAGTCACACAACTAGCTGGATGCAGAGTCAGGATTGGAGTCCAGCTCTGCCTGACTCCAAACCCAATGCTTTCCCCCAAAGCCAAGTCGGGTCTGCTTACCTCCAGCAGTCCTCTGGATCAGGTCTTGGCCTCCTGCCCTTTGGGTGGGATGACCCTTTAATGGTATCCACCCATCCTATCAAGAACATCAGCTTTCAAACTTTGTTAAAACTGTAACTCACAGTAAGAAATCCATTTTAGGGACTTCCCTGTAGGGCCCGTGTTGTTGTAGCAGTCCCTGGTGGTCCAGTAGTTAAGACTCCGCACTTCTACTGCAGGGGGCGTGGGTTCGATCCTTGGTCGGGGAACTAATATCCTGCATACCATGTGGCACAGCCAAAAAAAAAGAAGAAATCCATTTTACATCTCAATGATTTAGACGTGTCCACACACAAACACCCACGTATTTAGTGAAACAGCACCTGCTACATACAATGTACTCTGCTATTTTCTGTTATAGTCTAAACATTTGGTGACAACCCACTGAATTGGGTTCAATCATGAATCATGATTTCATGACCCTTGAATGGGTCAGAACCTACGGTTTGAAAAATACTCGCCTGAAGATTTAGCCCCAGTCATGCTGCATCTCTGCTTTGTCCTCCTCAAAGGCCTACTGGCTCCAGTTACTCCGTGGTTGCCTATGAAATTAGAAGACCCCTGAGAGGAGATTTACCCTCGATTCTGGTTGGGTGGGAGCCCTGGACCCTGGCCCTGTAGCCAGTGAGCTGCCCGGCCCCTTCCAAGGCTACCACATCAGAGTCTAGCCTGCCCCGCCATCGAGTGGGCCAGGTGTCCTGCTTGGGTTTTTCAGGTTTGCCTGGAATTCTGAAGGCTGGGCCACTGTCCCAGCATGTTCTAAGGGTCCTTGAGGCTGCCCTCCCAGGCATTCTCCAGCTGGGCTGAGACCTGGGGTATTATTGGGTCTCCTCTACCCCCGCCTCCCGCAAACCATCCCTTCCATCCCATGAGGTAACGTCAGTGGCCTACGCCACCCTCTTCCAGGCCTCACTGGAGGCTGAGGGTGAGGATGTGCTCGCTGTCTGCAGGCAATGCCCCACTCCGTGGGTCACCCACTTACCAAGCAGCCCTTCAGACTCTCAGCCAGACCTCATCCCTTTTGTCCCTTTTGAAACGTCAGCAGATCTTGCCTTCTCTCTCCCACTCTATTCCCAGAAAGCTGGGCCAGTAGCCAAAGCCCCCTCATCTTCTAGAATCACCTCAGTCACTGACAGTTCAAGATCAAGTAATAAATGGGACCATCAATGCACGGCAAGAATTATGCCAGGCACTTCATTCGTCCTTCAAATGCCTCCCGACTGTCTCCTCCTTGCCAGCGCTGCTCGTTGACTCACTGGGACTATGGCTGAGCGCCTAGGAGGGGACTCAGCCAAAACACAAATACCTGAGCAAAATTGAGGCAGACGGTGAGTCGTGCCCCAGGGAAGCAGGCGTGCAACGGCTGTGGCCTTGAGTAATGGGGACCACTTCAGAGAGTGCGGCCAGGCCCTGAGGTCACATTTGAGGGGAGATCTTCAGAATGGACAGGGTGGCTGTATGGGAGCTGGTGGCTGAGTGTCCCATACAGAAGGCCCTGAGGTGGGAAGTCATCTGTGGGTTCTAGAAAATGAATGAAATCCAAGGAAATTGAGAAGGGGAAAGGGGGCACGACATGACATGGGAGTGTGGGCAAAGCCCCATCACAGCGGGTCTTGGATGAATGTGGTGAGGAAGGTGGATTTCTTCTCAGAGCCGTTGAACCAATAGGAGGGTTTTAAGTCAGAAAGTGACGTGATTTGATGCTGTTTCAGAAGTTGCCTGTGGCTGTGGCGTGATGAGGTGGGGCGAGGGCAGGGCAGGAGTGAGAGCAGAGCTCTTTTTTAGGGGCAGGTACAGATGACGGCTGCCTGGACTCAAAGCAAACAATCTGAGGGCTGAGGGAAGGAAACTGAATCTCAGAGACTCTGTAGCTACAAAGTGATGGAGCTAAGACTTAAACCCACGACTTCTCTCTCCCAATAGCCATGCTTTCTTAGTGCTTTATAATACTCACCACTACACCTATTAAGTGTTGTTTAATCTTCATCGTGTGGGCTATTGGTATTATTGCCTCCAGTCTACTGATGGGGAGAGTGACTGAGCAAAGGATTTGACTGACCTCAGGTTAGCCTCAGAGCCGGATCCTAATTCAAAGGAGAAAAGGGACTGCTTTACAAATAGAAACCTGGGAAACCCACATCTTCTCTCCCTCACATCACATCTCTGAGTCCTCTGGGTGTGTTCTTCCTCTTTGACCTCTGAGTGGCTTAAGCGATCCTGGAGCTCACAGGGTAGCTGAGCACCATCTCCAGTGCTGGGGCCCTGGGCACAAGGCCACCATGCCCATTAGCTGACACAGGCTCCCTTGACACTCTCTGATGCTGAATGATTGACAGCACTCATAATGACACCTGGCAGGAAGCTCCATCCCATACGCCTGGCCACAGTGCCAGAAATTTCACTCAAAATCCACAGACTCTCTGCTTCAGCTCGGGCCTCCATCATGCCCATGTCAGGGAAAAAACCTTATTCCTCTTAGTTCAACCCAAAAAGATTTGGAGTTTTCCAAAGAAATGTTTCCAGTGAAATATATGTCTATCCTTATGCCAGTACCACATGTCTTGATTGGTAGTAAGTTTTGAAATTGGGAACTTTCAACTTTGTTTTCTTTTTCAAGACTGTTTTGGCTGTTCTGGGTCCCTTGCATTTCCATAGGAATTTTAGGATCGGCTTGTCAATTTCTGCCAAAAAGACAAAAAGATGGGATTTTAATGGGGATTGTGCTGAATCTACCATCTTAACAACAAAAGGTCTTCTGAAACATGGAATATCTTTACATTTATTTAGATCTTTTAAAATTTCTTTCAACAATGTTTTAGTTTTCTTTTTTTTTTTTTTTTTTTTGCGGTACGCGGGCCTAGCACTGCTGTGGCCTCTCCCGTTGCGGAGCACAGGCTCCGGACGCTCAGGCTCAGCGGCCATGGCTCACAGGCCCAGCCGCTCCGCGGCATGTGGGATCCTCCCGGACCGGGGCACGAACCCGGGTCCCCTGCATCGGCAGGCGGACTCTCAACCACTGTGCCACCAGGGAAGCCCTTAATTCCATTTTTAAATTGTTCATTGCTTACAGAAATAAAATGGTAGGAGCAATAAAGTTTTTTTCTTGAGGTACAATTGACATACAACATTATATTAGTTTCAGGTATACAACATAATGATTGAATATTTGTATGTATTGTGACATGCTCACCACAATGTCTAGTTAACATCTGTCACCATCCCTAGTTACAGAAAAATTTTCTTGTGATGCGAACTTTTTTTTTTTTAATTTTTATTTATTTATTTATATTTGGCTGTGTTGGTTCTTCGTTGCTGCGCATGGTCTTTCTCTAGTTGGGGTGAGCAGAGGCTACTCTGTTGGGGTGCAAAGGCTTCTCATTGCGGTGGCTTCTCTTGTTGTGGAGCACAGGCTCTAGGAGCGTGGGCTTCAGTAGTTGTGGCTTGCAGGCTCAGTAGTTGTGGCGCACGGGCTTAGTTGCTCTGCGGCTTGTGGGATTTTTCCAGACCACGGATCGAACCCGTGTGCCCTGCATTGGCAGGCTGATTCTTATCCACTGCGCCACCCGGGAAGTTCTGTGATGCGAACTTTTAATATTTACTCTCAAGGGGATTCCCTGGTGGCGCAAGTGGTTGAGAGTCCGCCTGCCGATGCAGGGGATACGGGTTCGTGCCCTGGTCCGGGAAGATCCCACATGCCGCGGAGCGGCTGGGCCCGTGAGCCATGGCCGCTGAGCCTGCGCGTCCGGAGCCTGTGCTCCGCGACGGGAGAGGTCACAACAGTGAGAGGCCCGCGTACCGCAAAAAAAAAAAAAAGATTTACTCTCAGGACATCCCTGGTGGTCCAGTGGTTAAGACTCCGCCCTTCCAATGCAGGAAGCGTGGGTTTGATCCCTGCTTGGGGAACTAAGATCCCACATGCCTCAGAGTGCGGCCAAAAGAAAAGATTTACTCTCTTAGTAACTTTCAAATATGCAATACGGTGTTATTAACTATAGTTGCCTTTCCTTCTTTTTTATGGCCAAATAATATTTCATTATATATATATACAATGATTTGTTTATCTATTATGGACCTTTGGGCTATTTCCACCTTTTAGCTGTTATGAATAATGCTGCTATAACATTCACGTACAAGTTACTGTTGGGACATAATATATTTTCATTTCTACTGGGTATAAACCTGGGAGTAGAATTGCTGGGTCATTGGTAATTTTATGTTTAACTTTTTGAGGAACCACCAAACTGTTTCTCATAGTGGCTGTATTATTTTATACTCCCACCAGCAATGTATCAGGGTTCCTACTTCTCCATATCCTCACCAACACTTGTTGTTTTCTATTTTCTTGATTTAATCTATCTTGCTGGGTATGAAATGGTATCTCACTGTGGTTGTGGTTTGTATTTCTTTAATGATCAATGAAAATAGAAAAATAGAGGACATTAATAAAAAATTAATAAGACTAAAAGTTAGTTTTTGGAAGAGATTGACAAAATTGATAAACATTTAGCTAGACTGACCAAGAAAAAAAGCTAAATATTTGTC